GGGACAATACGACAGCTCTTTATTATGTCAACAAGCAGGGCAGTACATATTCCCTTTCCTTACTGTGCCTAGCTGTCGAGCTCTGGGAATGGTGCTACCTTCACCACATCTTCCCAGTAGCAGTGCATATTGCTATGGATGACAATCTACTTGCAGACCATCTCAGTCGCCGTACCACAAGGAAGCACAAGTGGTCTCTGGAGACGAACTCTTCGCCCTTCTTTATCATTGATGGGGGACTTCTTCCGTCAATGTTTTTGCTACCAAGAACAATACTAAGTGGCAACTATATTGTTCCCGCGCCGGTATCGGCAGAGGCTCTCTCAGAGACTCCTTCATGATAAGATGGGACAGCGAACTCTTCTACCTATTCCCGCCTATCCCACTGATACAATGCATTATCATTCGGCTTCAGCAGTTTCAATCGGATGCAATCCTTATTGCCCCATGGTGCCCATGACAGCCAAGGTTCACCCAACTGAGGTCGATGTTGAGCGACCTCCTCCATCTTCCGTCCATCCCCAACCTCCTCAAGCAGGACAACGGGTTCATTTACCATCCCGATCTCGAATCTCTGAAACTGACGGTGTGGAGGATTCTCCTGCAATAAGGGATATACTTGACAGGACTCGAAAACCATCAACGAAGATCCTTTACCAACATAAATGGAGAGCATTCCTCTCCTTTGTCAATTCTAAAAACTTACATGTGGTACCATTTTCATTCTACTTACCTTTATACTCCATCTTTTTCATCTTGGATTGGCCCATTCTGCTTTGAAAGTTTATATTGCTGCAGTTGTTGCGCACCAACCATCTCATTCGGAAGCAGCTAAACTTTTCTCCCATCCAACTTTGAAAGATTCCTTAAGGGACTTCGCAATATCCGCCCTCCATGTCAATCTTCTCTTCCCCAATGGTCGTTACAGCTTGTCCTCAATGCATTAACCCGACCTCCCTTTGAACTGATGGCTACTACTAACCTCAAACTGCTTTCCTTGAAAACATCACTCTTAGTAGCCATAATGTCAACTAAACATACTAGCGAACTGGCAGCTCTTAAATGATCCACCTTTTCTGCAGTTCCATCCAGACAAGGTCACTCTATACCCAGATGTTTCATTCTTACCTAAGGTCATATCTGATTTTCATCTTAATCAACCTATAATACTGTCTAGCCTATTTTTATCTCCCTATCTGATTTTCATCTTAATCAACCTATAATACTGCCTAGCCTATTTTTATCTCTCTCTACACCTCTCAAGTGCATACTCCACATGCTTGACGTTAGACTCATCTTAATCAACCTATAATACTGCCTAGCCTATTTTTATCTCTCTCTACACCTCTCAAGTGCATACTCCACATGCTTGACGTTAGACACCTCTCAAGTGCATGCTCCACATGCTTGACGTTAAATGGTCCTTGGCCTTTTACATTGACAGAACCAAAAGGTTTAGGAAAGCAACAAGGCTCCTCCTATGTTTTCATGGCCCTAAAAAAGGTTCACTAGCTTCTCCTCAAACACTGGCTAGGTGGATTGTTCAAACAGTTTCACTGGCATATGAACTGGCAGGCAAAACACCAACTGAACCTTTGAAGGTTCACTTGACTAGAGCACTGTTTACCTCCACTGCCTTCCCACGGGGAATAGAAATCCCTCATATCTGCCATGCAGCTACGTGGTCCAATCCATCAACGTTTGTCACACATTACCATTTGGATGTCTGGGCAAACAAAGATGCTGCTTTTGGCAGAGCTGTATTGACTTCCTTTCTACTGTGACGTCCTGCCTTCCAGTAAGTGAGCTTGCCAGTCACCCAACTGTGTGCATTCACAGAGGCCACGAAGAAGAAAGAGAGGTTACTTACCTGTCACCATGGCTCTTCTAGTGGTCCTTTGTGAATTCACACATCCCGCCCGGCCTCCCCTCTGTCCGTCACGTTGTCCTCTTATATAGCTCTTTGATACCAGCCGACTTTTTTGGGAACTGAGGGGACTTCTGGGGGGCGGAGCATGTGCTCCATGGGGGAACGTCCCACTAATCACATGTCTTTAAGCTCTAGAAACTTCAGAGAGGTCCTGCGCAGGCGCAGAACAACCCAGTTGTGTGAATTCACAGAGAACCACTAGAAGAACCATGGTTTTACAGGTAAGTAACCTCTCTTTATCTTATTTATGCAAAATACAGTGGATCAGTTTTCATGGATTCAGAGTAACATAAGTAAATCCACAGTTGCTAGCCTTTCATAGCAGCTTTTAAACTAGATAAGTCTATTTGTTAGAATATCTTGGTTCTAAATGCATTAATGTAGACGGTCCATTGATTTCAGCTCAATGTATTTGCACATAATGGGCTTATGGGACTTTGGGACAGTTTCGTGTCCAGAGCCATTGATACCTCACTACTGAACATCCAACTTCTCCCACTGATTTTACTGGAAGCTACCTATAAGCAAGTATGATTAAGGTTGTGAACTTGATCCCATTAAAGGATGATCATGTATGGACCAGATTTAAAAGGTTTGAATTGCAGTATACAAAAACCACTGAGCTGTTGATATGCAGTTAAGTGGGATGACAGCTTGTTGCTTTAAGAGTTGTTACATCAGTGTGTGAGATTTAAACAGGGGACACTGCAGCCAGTCTCATTGATTAGGGCCAGGATCAGGCCCTTGTGACAGATGTAGGTATTTAAAGGATTAGACTCGAGGAGACACAAGTAGCAGTAGCAGATTTTCAGAAGTTGATCAGGGTGTTATATCAAGTTCCTCATTTGAGCCAAGGTCTAGGATAGCATTTCTCAACCTCTTAAACACGAGTCTTCTTTTGGTGAACATTTCATAATCCCTTCAAACATTCCTTCCCAAATCCTTAAAAAAAGGGGGGGGGGAAAGGATTTATTACAACTAAAAGCAAATTAAAGCATTTGTAAACTTTGAAAAAAGATTAAAATATTATTCAAAACTTTATTAAAATATAAACATTTATTTAAAAATTTATTAAAATATTCAGTAAAACATTGTTAAATGTGTATTGAAATATTTCAGGGGGAAAAAAGGAATAAATCTTCAGCCTTTCATGTTTTATTTTATTTTTTCGCATTAAAGTGTACCTTTATTACAACTAAAAGCAAATTAAAGCATTTGTAAACTTTGAAAAAAGATTAAAATATTATTCAAAACTTTATTAAAATATAAACATTTATTTAAAAATTTATTAAAATATTCAGTAAAACATTGTTAAATGTGTATTGAAATATTTCAGGGGAAAAAAGGAATAAATCTTCATCCTTTCATGTTTTGTTTTGTTTTTTCACATTAAAGTGTACTTTATTTAAAATATTTTGTCCCACCTTTCTTTTTAAGGTGGCTTACATCATTAAAAAGACAATATTTAAAAGCTAAAAACAGTAAGTATATAAATATTTAAAAAGAATTAAACAGATATATTTAAAACAGTAAGTAAGATCAATAATAAAAACACATTTAAAAACAACATAACACAATGATGCATTTTAAAAAACTCTCAGATAGCCAGATAGGTTTATATGATGATACAATAAGATGCATACTAAGGAAGCAGTAAGTATAGAAGACTCTCCTTAATGTGCAATTTTTAAATTACTATTTAAAATACGCTTTTTCAGACTGTAAATGCCTCCTTTAAAATTCTGATACACCCTCAAGAGGCCATGCAGAACTGAATGGGAATTCTCCCCATATGAAGAAACAGATGGTGTTTAATGGGGTCATAAATTGAAGATCAAGTTAAGGGATTAAAGGAGAGTATGTGAGAAAGAAAAGGCTAACAGAAACAATGACTTATTGCTTGCGGTCAACGATGGTTCTGGATTGACCATCTAAGTGTTAAGTCCTAGTGGCAGCAGGAGACAAGAATGCAAACATGTAAATGATAAGAATTTTGGCTTATTTTGGCATGTGAATCTGGTGACTATGTGGGGTATTTTAGACAGTGCGGGGTGTTCTAGAGTCTGGAGGCATGAACAGGAAGTTACTTAAAACTGAAGAATGAACAGTGTACAGTATTGTCAATGGAAGAGGGACATAACATAAATGGAGCAATGATGCCCCATTTAGACAGTGGGGAAAATCCTGTTGGCATAAAGTTATGCTGCAGAGCCAGATGAAATCATCAGCCAGCACTGGCAATATTTGATTTAAATGAGTAGAATCATGGAGTTGGAAGGAACCTCTAAGGCCATTGAGTCCAACCTCCTGCTCAGTGCAGGAATCCCCAAGTTAATGTTTATGTGACAAGTGGCTCTCTAGGTTTCTGTTGAATGCCTCTAGTTTTAGACCACTCACCACCTCCCAAGGTAGTTGCTTGCACTGTTGTACTTGTTCTAACAGAAAGTTTTTGCTGATGTTCAACCAAAATCTAGCTTCCTGTAACTGGAGCCCATTTTTACATGTCCTGCACTCTGGAATGGTTGAAAACAGATACTGACTGTGCCTCCATACGATAACATTTCAGATATTTGAAGGGTGCTAACATATTTTTCCTCTTTTTTTCTCATGACTAAACATGCCCAGATATTTCATTCTTTCCTTATAAGGCATGGTTCCCAATTCCTTAATGATTCTTGTTGCCTTCCTCTGAACCAGTTCATCTGCATCCTTCTAAAAGTTCAGTGTTCAGAACTGGACACAGTACTCAAGATAAAACCTAGCTTAATGCCAACAGGATTTTGCACACGTACTTAAAGAGGCATCATTGCTCTGTTTATTTTATGTTCCTCTTCTACTGGTTCTGCACCATTCATAGTTTTGTTTTCTGTAGTTTCCTGTTCATGCCTCCAGGATTTTGGCCACTGTGTTCAGAGAGCTGTTAGTTATGAAGCATCCTTAACTTATCCGAACCACTCAGCTGTCAGGATACTCTGTCATGGGTGAAATAGAATTGCTATTCTGTGATTATGGTTAATACTTTGAGTTGCAAGGTATATATATAAATCAATATTTTTCTCTTTCTTCATAGATTTGAAATTGAAATTGAGCCAATTTTTGCCAGTTTGGCATTGTATGATGTTAAGGAAAAGAAAAAGGTCAGTAATAATTTTGCTGGAGACTTCCTTTGTGTGCAGCACGAACTGTCGGCTCAGTTGTAGGGAATAATAGAATTTTTCTGCATTACACTTGCAACATTTCACTGGAATATTGGATTTGAATTTCTCCCATCTTAGATCAGTGGGAATGCAGATCACTTACCTGAGCTGTGCATAATTTATTTCAGTTTTCTGCCACTGTTTGATCCTGGAACTAAGACCTTGTTAGGCAAGAGGTTTACTTCCATCTGTTGGTAGACGCTCCCAGCTTGGCCAGCCCAATAAACCATTTTACAACTCTTTTAACCCACAAAAGGGTTTGAATATGGTTTGGTGCTTCACTTGTGTTTGGGGTTCTGTCAGCAGATAGGCATTACAGAAGATGCAAGCAAGGCCTGATTTATATACATCTCTTACCATTAGGAAAAAGAAATCAGTCTAGGTTTTCCGTACTCTAACATTTGAAATTAATTGCTGGTCCTGCCCTATCCAATTTCATTAATTTTGAGCAATGAAATAAAAATGCTTTGAAATAGATTGCATTATTGCATCATTTATGACCTTGTATCCCCCAATATTTTTAAATTAAGCATAGAGTGTACATGCATAGATTTGTGTCAGGAAGAAACTTTTGCAAACATTATACTTGTCACCACTGCAAATCTCCATCAGTAAGAAGGCTGTCCATATAGCCAGAGGGAAACATTCTAGCATCCTCTAAAATATTTTGCTTCTGAAGATGTCAACTTGGTTCCAGACAATCAGCTTCCGGTTTATTGCAGTTATTTGCAGTTCCAGTGGAAAAGAATCCAGGGATCTTTATGGGAATATCCATAGTTCTCATGGATGAATTTAACTTGCATAACAACTTCACTATTAGCTTAGTTCATTTGTTTCGCAAAGTAGGCTTCTCTACAGCATCATGAGTATAGATTTATACTTATACATGTATTATTTTGGTGGCATGTTTTTAAACAGGCATAATAAGGTGTGTTAGGACACGTATATATGGCCTGATATTAAATGAGCAGTATAAAAGCATCTCTATTTCTTGCTCTCTCTGTGTGATACTTGTTATTTTTTTGTCTGCTACAAATAGCTGGCATATGCAATGTGAATTACTGTAACATTCCAACATTTTATATTTAGTGAAGATTTGGGAGATTTTTATATATACAACAACAACAAAAAAAACTAGCTAGCATTTTCTTTCAGATTTCAGAGAATTTCTACTTTGATTTGAATTCTGAGCAAATGAAAAGCATGTTACGTCCTCATGTCCCACCTGCTGCCATATCCACATTGGCCCGGTCAGCCATCTTTTCTATAACATACCCGTCACAAGACGTCTTCCTCGTAATTAAGGTAAGATACTGTGGGGTTTCTTATTTTAACACCCTCCCCCGCAAAATCTTGTTGGTGTAGCTCCATTAATTCATGCCAGTCTGATGACATCATCAGCGGTGGCCTTTTTATCGGTAATTAAACAATTCTGACCCACTCCCTGGGTTCCAGGGCTCCCTCGCATTCTGGGAAAGCCTTTGGGGACCTCAGGACAGAAAAGCTGTGATTGTTGGACATTAAAGACCCCACCCCCACCCTGAGAGCAGCAGAACAAAGGGCTCCTTAGGGAGCTTCAGAGGTGGAGGAGGGGGCTGGAATTGGAAACTTGTAATTTGTGATCAAAAGCTCCAGCTCATGAAGTCATTAGCCTCCTGCATGTGGAGTGTGCCAGCAGGATTTTAGCCATTAAATACTTATATACTGTATATTTTTTTCAAATTATATGGCAGAGTGCCTTATTAACCTATGTAAGTTATTTTTTTAGGATGTTGTGGGGGCCACATTCCTGCAGGATGTTATGATGGCCAATAATTTTCCAGTGCATGGATTCAGACTTGGTGAACATCAGTAGAAATCAGTAGGGTGGATGTTACTACTTTCTTATAGAAAGGCTATTGATTTTATGCAGTCTGGTCTGAGCCTGGCTAAGTCTTGGTCCATGGAAGATGAATATTGGACAGATGGAAATAGATTAGTGGAAGGAAGGAAGGGGTTGAATCTTTGATTCCTTTTACTGTAAGCAAAAGACAAATAGAAACACAACATAATGGCCAGAATCCTGCTTGGTGGGGCCTATCTGTATAACAGGAATAACATTTGCAGCAGTGGCGAATTGCCACTGATTAAAAGTTTCCTTCTGTGATGGGAAAAGGGAAAAGGGAAAAGGGAAAGGAAAGGGTTGAATCTTTGATTCCCTTTACTGTAAGCAAAACACAAATAGAAACACAACATAATGGCCAGAATCCTGCTTGGTGGGGCCTATCTGTATAACAGGAATAACATTTGCAGCAGTGGCGAATTGCCACTGATTAAAAGTTTCCTTCTGTGATTTCAGAGTGCATGCAGCTTTATTGGCATGTGTGCATGCCATGCGCACCAGAAATCTCGAAAGGAAGCCTTTTAACAGCTGCAGGCTGCTGCTGCTGTCATTCCATTTTTGCAGGCGGAGCTACACAAAATGATTTCAGCCATTTTGTGACTAATTAAATAAAAACAGCAAGTATCTTTATATCATTGTACATTCATCCTGGATGTAGCAAGTTGATGGTAGAAATACTAAAATGTTGAATTTTAAACCTTCCTGAAATTTCCTGGCACATACGGGTCCTGGAATGGCAATATGCTATGGTTTCTATGGTTACTCTCCTAACAATAATTGAAGGAATAATTCCCTCTGCATGCACGTGACTTGTGCCATTTTTGTTAATTTTAGCCTCCTTTGATAGATGCAGCTAAAAGAAAAATACATCTTCATAAAACCGAACTCTAGCTTGGCTCTTTTGATCTGCTTCATGGACTGGGCCCTGACATTTTCTGCTGAGAGAAGAAAGTTTTGTCCCATGATGTTGTTTTGGTTTTTTTTTTCTCTCTTCCAGTTCTAAGAAATAAGTTTGATTGTTTGTATGTCTCTGGTTGGAGACAAACTGTTTGATAAACAACATTTGCTTAAAAATTTCTTGCCATACTGTTGAGACATTACCAAACCTCAGAAAGTTGCTGGGCGAATAGAGCAGTACTTTAACCTAGGATAACCACTCAGGAGAGTCAAAATGTAATAGAGATCTTTCAAAAGAACTTCTAATGCCCTGGGAAATATGCTAAGATTGAGATTCACATTACATTGTTCCAGATTGCCCAAGCAAGAGGGAAGGCTCATTGGCAGTAGCGTTAAAAGGAGATTGTATTCTCAAATCTTGCACACGTCTCATTGCATAGTTTTTGAAGTCAGAATCTGCATATATTCACAGTACTTGATTTTTACAAGATGAAAGAAAAAGATTAACACCATGCAGCTGAGACCGGTGTCTAACTATAAAAGCTTTCCTTGACACATTAATGCTTGTAAACCCAATGAGATGAGCCTAGCTACCAGCCATTTGCAGAAAATGGTACTCAGATTTTGGTCTGTGAAAAGGAAAAGGACATGAGCAAGGTAAATAAGCCAGAAAAATACCTTGTAATATGTCACATATGGGGATTGCTCATGTACATTTTGCCAGTCGTGATGGTTTTAAAGTCGTTTTTCCTCCTAGTTAGCCACATGTCTACTTTGGACCCAAATCAGAATTTGACAATGTGAAGAATAATTTTTAGAAATGCTTTGGCTTCCAAAGTGCACTTGTACTAGCTTTGATCTAGGGTTGTATTCCAGTTGTCCAGCAACAATAAACAATCACCTCTGGTTTTGCGGTGGGTGGACCTGGGTTCAATGACACTCTGTGCTAGGGGAAAGAGAAGTTAGCCTGAATTGATATCTCCTTCCTCTCCAGTGAAGCTGCTGCAAGGCAGCTACCTGAGGCAAACAAAAATGGCACCAGCTACATTTCCAAAAGCTAGCTGAGCTGGAAGATGACTCTTCATCAGTGACATTGGGACTGTGCCCTATACTAGTGGTTCTTAACCTTTTTGAAAGAATTGCCCTCTTGAGCCATTGAGGAAGTTATCATCGCCCCCCTACCCCAACATAATAGTGGCACGGCGGCGGCACTGGATCCTCTGCCAGCACCAGCTGCTCTGGATCCACCTGCTGGATCCGTTGCCAGCACCGCGGCTATAGCCGCCTTCTTAGGTTTGGCTTGCTATATCGCCCCTCCCATGTTCTACGGCTGTAGCCGCCTTCTCAGGTTTGGCTTGCTATATCGCCCCCCCTTATGTTATTTTGCCCCTGCGTTGGCCCTTTTTGTTCCATCGCCCCCTTGAAAAATGAAATCGTCCCCGGGTGGGGGGTGATATCACCTAGGTTAAGAACCACTATCCTATACTATACCTCCATACACATCTAGGGCACATCCTCCCCACCACCAATAGATTGACTTATATATTATTTATATGCTACCTTTATCCCCATAGAGGACCCATATCTTGTTGCCTCCTCTTATCATCTGCCTCTTGTTGTCTCATTCTGCCTAATGGTAGATTTGGTCCTGTTCCCCAGATACAATCAGCAGTGACAAATTTGGAAGTCCTCACCTATTGTTTGATCTTTTCAGTTTTGCTAGCGCACATCTATACTGAATACAGGGACCCAGCTTCAGAAATTGCATGTGCAACATCCTTTTCCATAGCAATCAAGAAGGATGCACACAAAACCCACTTCTGTGTTTACATCACTTTGCTAGACTAGGCTGAATGGAGATATTAATGTAGTTAGAATTGGGAAACATTGCTTTTTTAAAAAATGCTTTTTCCCTTTTTGCTTTTTGCTTGCTGCAGCTAACATTGATATCTTTGAAAGGGCCAAGTTTCTTCTCTTTTGCATCCCAATCTGGTTTTGTTTTGTTTCCCCTATTTTATAAGAAATTAGTGATGACTTCAGTATAGATAGGTGACCTCATTCTAAATGAATGATATATTCATCTGGCATACAGTGGCAGCCAATTTAGATGCCGCAAATAATCTTAGAAGCAGGAATGCCAAAAGATATGAAATGGACTAGATGAAAATGCTCATCGTTTATGAATGAGGTGGATTAAAATGACTGTCTGGGATTCTACTCACAGTCCAGGATTCCCACCTCTCCTCAATGTACACATCCTGCTGTGGTTGCTGCTCCCCTCTTTTCCAACGTCTTTAGTCTGCTGCCTTGCAACACTATGAGGAACTTTGGGTGAACTTGTCTGGGGCGAGAAAAGAAAAGCTTCTTTTTGCTGTGTTCATTATTTCTTGTTATTACTGTATCATATAACTTCCATAGGAAAAAAATCTTTGGTTTTGGCTTTTTTCCTCTCACATTAGATGTTGTTAGAATATTGGTGTAAAATACTGTATGAATAACAGTTACATGTAGTTTCCAAAGAGGCAGCTATGTGAGTCTGTTTTTAGTACAGTATATCACCAATTAAAGGAGGGGGAAGGTGTGTGTGTGTGTGTGTGTGTGTGAGAGAGAGAGAGAGAGAGAGAGAGAGAGAGAGAGAGAGAGAGAGAGAGAGAGAGAGAGAGAGAGAGAGAGAGAGAGAGAGAGAGAGAGAGAGAGAGAGAGAGAGAGAGAGAGAGAGAGAGAGAAAACAAAGGACACAATAACTTAATAGCTTAAAGGCTTAGCAGATTTATTTCACTGTGAGCTTTGGTGGATCAAAATCCAGTTATTGAGACATGCTGAGGTGAATTTGTTAGCTGTTAAGACACCACGATATTATGTTCCTTGCTTCCCCCTCCCCCCATTTTTATACTTGTCAACAGTCATATGATCAGGAATAAAAACCCCGGGAGAACCATGAATCTACAATTTATTTATTTATTAAATGTACCGTATATACCGTCCCAATAGTGCATGCAGTACTGTATTCTGGCAAGATAAAGCAAACAACATGAAGTTAAAATAAAATACATAATCAATAACAAGCTCAAGATGTGCAAATTATAACTTACAAGCAGAATGTGAGGCATATGAAAAACCCAGGTGGGTAACTGAGAATGTTCTCTCTGAAAAGAAATATTTTCAGTTACCTTTTGAACGTTGGGAGGGAGGTGGGCATAGCTCCACTGGAGTTGGTCCCAGCGTGTTGGTGCCACCACAAAGAAGTCTCTGGTTCAGAGGATTTCTTTGCCTCCCTTGGGGTGGCCACCCAGAAGAACGGTAGACCTGATGGTGCGGGTAGATGACATTGAGAAAAGACGGTTCAACAAGTATAACATAGGAATGAAAGAAATCTAAGTGAACTTTTAAATGACCAAACTTCTGAAGGCTCTCTTCCAGTTTGAAGTTGCTGGTAATAGTTATCATCATTTATTTTTTGACAAATAAAACTATACTTCAAGCTTTTTACAAGTGAAGAAACGTCAAAACAACAGTCAGTCCAAATCAAGCTAAATCCAAATATCTGGTAATCTATTCTGTGAGTCTCAGCCCAAAAAGTCTCAGAAGTCTCTATGTGGAAAAGCAACAAACACACTGAGGGAGGAATGCAATGTATAGCTGGGGAGGCTTCCTTGGGATGGATTTCCAGAGAACCGACATAGTGAATTAAAATCTCTGGTCTGAGCTCTTCCTGAGCAAAGCTGAATGGATCTTTTATTTGTGACTGAGAAACAAACTAGCATGTGCTTCCAAGTATATACTTGGCTAAAACCTCTCTTTCTCTTTGTATGTTCAATATATGTATATATATTGCTTGCACTTGTTGATTGTGGGCTTGAGTAAGGAGATAAAAATATATTCCATAGTAATCAGTCTGCTCATTTCTGTATGTATGTTTTATGTGCCTCCATCTTCATGGTTATCTGTTTTTTCTTCTCCCCCCCCAACCCCACAGCTGGAAAAGGTATTGCAGCAGGGAGATATTGGGGAGTGTGCAGAGCCGTATATGATTTTAAAAGAAGCAGATACTGCAAAGGTAAGTAGTTTTCTCTAGTTTTGGACACCCATTGGGGGACTTTGTTTTTACCAGAACTGCCTTCCTTAGTCAGTATAGTGTGGTGAACAGTGTGGTGCAGTGAACATGTTCTTAGGCTGTATTCAGTGGGTGGGCACTCTACTACCAGAAGGGGTTTTTCAGTAGAGTGGGAAAAGAGGTTCCCTCAACCCTTTAGAGCAGATTTTAAGGTGAGGAAGTCGGAAGCTGTTGACAAAATCTTCCCATTCTGCTAGGAGATGTCTTCTGTCAGCAAGGTGATTGCTGCTGCATACAACCCCATATGTGTAACTTGCTGAAACCATAGGAAGTCACAAGGGTGGTCTAGATTTGACACCTTGCCTTGCACCCTCTGAGCCTTCATCTGTTGTAGCAAAATGTGGTTTGTCATCACGTCTGAAGCACCCAGTGGTGGTGTGCACTTGACCTTCAGGCCAGAATCAGGTAGCGCAATCAGACAGTTGGTTCAGATTTTGCTTTGAGAGGAATGTACAATCATTTGGTTGTAGTGACAGACTGGTTTTCTGTGGAAGTAAGCAAATAGGGGACTACAAAGTGAAGTGATTTCTTCCAACAGTATATTATCAAGTGTCAGAGTCATTTACCTTTGGCTTGCTCACATAACTCTTGAGCCAGAAATATCATCATCATCATCATCATCATCATCATCATCATCATCATTATGATTGTCATTGTCGTTGTCATTGTTATGATGATGATGATGATGATGATGATGATGATGATGATGACGACGACGACACCCTTAGGAAGCCCCCAGTGACCATGGAGACTGGAGCATTCTGCCAGGTGTTTTTCAGAAAATAAGTTTAGCTCAAGAATAACACAACAATCTGTGGCCCTTTTTTTTTCCTGGGCTTTCTTTTTGTCTCCTGACCACAGGGCCTAGGGGTGGGACTTCCTGCTTTAATAGACCGTGTCCCAGGACCACGCGCCGTTATTCTCAAATTTTGTATCTGGCCTTAATATGGTAAATAAGAAAGCCAATTAGATTTGCATAAGCCAGGGAGTCAGGAAAGTTTTAAGGATCAGATCATACTTTTGCACTATTAAAGAGCAGGCCGGGTAGGTGGGGCTTGTCAGCCATGGAAGGCAGCCCATCTAGGAGAAGGAAAACTCCGATTTCAAACCTCCACTGCCTTGTGGCTATATCCACTCATGGAAAAGGCTTCAGGAGTTAACCTCGAGGCAAAATCCGGAGCTGGAGTCCCGAAGGCAGCATGTGTCGTTCTGCCAACTCCTGTGACATTGCTGGAACCAGTTGTATTGGCTCTTGCCTTTCCATTGGACCATTTCAGCAATGTGGAGAGGGGGGATCTGCTGCTTGGGTAACAGCCTATCCTCCATATTACCTTACCCGGGCTTCATGCTCTGGAGAGGACACTCCTCAATTCAGAGCATGTTACCATAGTCTCTCGAGACTGAAGGCTGCCTATGCTATGCTATGCTAGTGACAGACTGGTTTTCTGTGGAAGTAAGCAAATAGGGGACTACAAAGTGAAGTGATTTCTTCCAACAGTATATTATCAAGTGTCAGAGTCATTTACCTTGGGCTTGCTCACATAACTCTTGAGCCAGAAATATCATCATCATCATCATCATCATCATCATCATCATCATCATTATGATTGTCATTGTCGTTGTCATTGTTATGATGATGATGATGATGATGACGACGACGACACCCTTAGGAAGCCCCCAGTGACCATGGAGACTGGAGCATTCTGCCAGGTGTTTTTCAGAAAATAAGTTTAGCTCAAGAATAACACAACAATCTGTGGCCCTTTTAAATCAAGAATAACTTCTTATCCCTCTCTTTTTTCTTCTTTTGTGCACTGCAGCCAAAGAACACCTGGAGTTTGTTAAACTACTATTCTCAGTTTCATTAAAACCAATGTCATCTCTTGGTTTGTATTCTGGAAATGACCGTTTCTTGGTTTGAATGTGATGAGAAAATGTAGTTTAATAGATCCTAGCATTATAAGTGGCACATAAGAGAAGAGTGAAGGGTGTGCAGGTGTAACACTTATTCTCATTCAAATAAACCATAGGTTTTCTTCTTGTTGATATAAAGGGCCAGCTATCTCTCAGCTATACCATATCTGTCCAAACTTTTTATGGGAATGAAATTGAAGATATTTTGTTAATTTGTCTGAGCTCTTTGCATAGGACTGCACTGCAAGAACTTTTAAATAAGTAGCAATGGTAATCTGATCCTGCTTTTCTTTTTCTATTTATTTGGTAGTGGAAGATTATCTCTCCTGCTGCTATCTAGCACCCTGTAATAATTTAGAGATACTTTGAGAATTCCCTTGAGTTCTATTATCACCCCATTTGCACACTTTGCAATTGTCACTTTTACCCACAGGCAGCTGCCTTCATACTGCGACCCATGTTTAAAACACCTTAAAAGGAGGTTTTAAAGGTTTATTGCAGTACTCAGCAGAATAGCAGAAAAGGTCTTTAATTAATGTAAGAACAGATCTCTTGTGACCGTCATGGAACATTTCAGCAAATTGTGCTTCTTATGTTTTTTCTCCACTAACTTTCTATCAGGGATAATCGTGTTCTTTGCTCCATATTAAAAAAAAACTGTTTTAATTGTTGAATGCCCCATAGATGCTCACAGGTTTATCTTATTCTTTATTTTGTATGAACTAAATAGTAGTTCATTCAGCAGACACAGTATTACTGTATCATAAATGTTTTAATTTTGGGAATTGTTCTTTTTTCTAAAAAAAAATCAGAATAAAGAGAAGCTGGAAAAACTAAAAAGCCAATCCGAGCAGTTTTGCCAAAGACTTGGAAAATACCGCATGCCTTTTGCATGGACAGCCATTCATTTAATGAATATAGTCAGCAGTGCTGGAAGTTTGGAGAGGGACTCTGCAGAAGTGGAGATTGCCACGGGAGGTAGGTATTTTAAATATGTTAGATAATTCTAAAGTGCATTTTAATCTTAAAACTAAATTGCATGTGATATTCATGCTTTTAAAAGCATATGCTGAAATGGGCTGGCCCTTCCTTTTTTGAAGGACAGTCCACCCTTGGCATTATTCTGCAGTATAATTTGGATCTGGTTTGATCATCTATGGGAATTTTGTCTTCCGAAAAGAAGTGGCCAGTTTAAATGCACCCTTTTAAAAACATGAATAGCATGGTTCACAAATATTGACTCCTAAGACTGTGGAATAAGTGACTTGTGGAACAATATGGCACAACATATATATATAATTCCCCTACCACCGGGGTGAACAGGAGTGGAGTGTCAGGGACCAATTTCCCAATTGTACCAGCATCTAGCATGAGTTTTCCTACTCGTATTTTATAATATAGAATATGGATCCAGGTAGCTGGTTGGTGGAGATTCAGCTAATTCTGGAGAATTAAGGAGGAGACCATTTTTGCTTGTACCTCCCCCCTGAATTCCCCTGTACTCCTTGAATATCTGTTTCGAGTGATTGAGGAATCCACCAGAACAGTATAAGCAGTGTAAAGGGCTACTTTCTTCTCATTCACAAATGACTCCTGCGAGGAGTCCTTGCTGAATCTCAGTCACTTTATTTCATGAATTGAAGGAGTGCTTCCATTTACAGAATAACCAGTTTGGATGTAACTCAATGTCTGTGGCATCCAACACTGTTTAGATTTAGAGAAAGGATGCCAAGTATAGATCCGTCAGCACTCATCAGAACAATGAAAGAGCCCTGCTGTATTACATCATGGTCCTGTCTTGTCCAGCATTCAGTTCATGCAATAGCTAATCAGCTGCCTGTTCACACAGTGGCTAATTAGTTCACCAGCAGGACTTGAATGCAGCCGTATCCTCCAGAGGTTGCTGGTCTTTAACTCTTATCCACTCTACCCAGAACAGATAATAATGAGATGAGTTGCATTCTAGCAATAGGTGGAGGACTGGACGTTACCTACTCCTGTTGTAAAGCCATAATTATGGTCTTATTATTATTATTTTGGTCATTCTCTTCGGAGTATTTCTGATATAAAATATGGGTCTATCAGCGTTTTTGCCTCCCATTGCCCTCACTAAATCGGGGTGAAATGAAAAGGACAAGCCTGTAATAACAAATAGGTTTATCTTTCAAGGCTTTTACTTGTAAACCATCTGTTATGCTTTCTAAAAACCAAGCTACTAAGTCTGTGAGAGTGTTACAGGCTGATGAACATTTTCCAAAGAAGTGAATTAATCGCTGTGGACTGCACAGCTCATGTGAAACCAATGTTCAGCATCTACCCCCTCCTCCCAAACTACCAACTTCATCATTTTATGTGGCAGGAGAAAAGCATAAATCTTCACATGATGGAGACTTTTATAATAAGAACGAAGCACTGGGGTGCGGCTGCCGTGAGAGGAACAGAAGTATTCAGCTGTGCTTCATGGTTTCCTAATGCCTCAGGAGTATGATTGTCTTAGCATAACCACCTATTCTATCATACTTTCCCCATAATTTCAAACTAGTGTTCCTAAAATAAATGTAGTTTATTTCAATTTTTTTGGTTTATTTTTTTTTCTTCTGCTTTATTAAAGAACGCAAAGGATCTTGGTCAGAGAGGAGAAATTCTAGCATCGTTGGCAGGCGTTCCTTGGAAAGAACCACCAGTGGGGATGAGACTTGCAACTTGACTAACTTTAGGCCGGCTACCCTAACAGTGACAAACTTCTTTAAACAGGTATTACATAGTTTAAGCCCATCGGAACAGTGTGTCACAGTCTCCATTTTAGTTAATGCTTTTGAGATTGACACAGATTGACATTTTTACTTTAGATGGATTAATGTTAACAGCTTCAACAGATGATCTGGGCTAAGAAGAGTTCTACTAGGCCTAAACAAGGCTTAAGGCGTGTCCCTAACAACAGCTTCAACAGATGATCTGGGCTAAGATCAAGGCTTAAGGCGTGTCCCTACATGTGTGAATTAGACTTGCTTATTCATTCTGCCGCTATCTTGGCCATTTGTGGCTCCCCTTTTCTGTTTGCCTCAACTGTACTGTCAAAGTCCAGCATAATCAATATGGGTTGAAACTAGTTGTTGGTATTGAGCGACTGTCTGGGGAAAGAATGGGAATCATCTGAAGGTCAGTGAGAACAGACATTTGCAGTTCATGTAAAGGTTACCACTGATAAACCTTCACAGGGTATTTCAGCAGAATCTGTTCATGCTGAACTCACAGTTTTACACTGGAAAGCCAGTGTGCTGTGTGGTTAGGTTGTCAAGCTAAAACTGGTAAGACTTATTCCACTTGATCGGGAAACTTGCTGTGTAAATCTCACCCTGGCACTCTACCTCAGCCTAACTTAATTAAATCAGTAGTTGTGAACATAAAATGGTGGGAGTGGGTTGAGACAGAGAGTCATGTATATTGTCTTGATTTCTTTCAAGGAAAGGTGGGTAATCAGAAAATTCTTTATTCCCTTTCAATTCTAAGCCACTTTTTATCCCAGTGTAGGGACTCAAAGCAGGTGACAAATAGTTAAAAACAGATACAGTGAGAAAAACTCTATTCACTTATCACCTTTTCTGACACAACCTAGCCTTCCACTTTGTTGTGATAGTTTCAACTGGCCCAGGCACACCCTCCATATGTTGAGGAGAGGTCTGAAGTGGAGAACCTGTTGTATGCTAGTAAATGAAACCTGTAATTTGGAAATTGATCCAGTTTCTAAATCACACCAGTAGAAAGGCTAGTGCTTCCTATGTAGTCAGTTCTTACACAAGTTCTATGCAGTTGTGTCTTCTTTCCTCTGAAGTAGGCTCCATTTATTTCCCTGTACAGTGGTACCTCGCAAGACGAATTCCCCGGGCAATGAAAAACTCACAAGATGAAAGCGTCTTGCGAGGTTTTTTTTTTGGTGCTCTGCAAGACAAAAATCGCGAAGCGAGTTTTCCCATGGGAATGCATTGAAATTTAATTAATGCGTTCCTATGGGCAAAAAAACTCTGAAAAAGTCACTTACCAGGTAGGGAGCTGGGGCAGCACCAATGGAGGACTGGTGGGGGTCCCCTGCAACCGTGCTTGCTGCTTTCAGAGGTCCCCCGGCAGTCCTCCGATGGTGCTAGGCAAGCCTTCCCCAGCACCATTTTTGAATTTCCCGCCCTTTTCCCCTGCCTTTTTTCCGTTAGGAGGCTTGCCGAGCACCATCCGAGGCAAGCCTCCGAACGGAAAAAGGCAGGGGAAAAGGACAGGAAGTTCAAAAATGGTGCTGGGGAAGGCTTGCCTAGCACCATCGGAGGACTGCTGGGGGACCTCTGATCATGATCGCAGTTGCGGGGGACCCCCGCCAGTCCGATGGTGCAGGGGAAGCCTCCTAACCTGGTAAGTGACTTTTTCAGAGGTTTTTTTTGCCCATAGGAATGCATTAATTAAATTTCAGTGCATTCCTATGGGAAAATGTACCTCGCAAGACGAAAATTTCACAAGATGACAGGTCTCGCGAAATGAATTATTTTCGTCTTGCGAGGCACCACTGTAAATATGTATAGAAGTGCATATTTATTCTTAATGTACGTTTATAGATTGCTACTGTCTGAACACACTCTAAATGGAAAAAAATCTCCCTTGAATAGAGTGGATGTATTTCTGAGGAAGTGTATACAAAATTGTGTTTGAGAGAATTCCGAGCTTTTCTGCTTTCCTCCAGGAATTCTGGGGGAGTAGTGTTAGGGAAAAAAACATTCATGGTTGTGCTTTTCAAAAATACTAGAAAAGAGCACTTGTGTCAGTATGGAAATCCCTAATTTCCTATTGAAAGCTTTCCTTTGCCTCTTTTTTACTGGTGCTTAAGCTCATATAGACTTAAAGTCACAAGACTATCCTCCATCCTTCTCCAGGAGCAGAAGTAGGGTAGCTGTGTGGAGTGGCCACAGTGTGATAGAATCAGTAGGCCAGCAAATACAACTTCACTCTTCCCTTCACAGCATGGTGTTTGCATGAAGGAAAACAAATGAGTAGGTCTAATGATATGATTAGATTTGAATGATATATTATGAGGAAGAGGAAGAGGAAGAAAATACACCATGTTGCTGTAGAAATTCAGGACAGCATTAAATCCGTTCTAATCTAGCAGCTGATTCAGGGATGATTATTTAGAGAGGCATTCCAGAGATTATGCAAGATTAATGTTTCTTGTGTCACCACAACAGCACCAAAAAAGGTGGTCAGTATCTTGACCTACTAACCTGAAATGTTTGGGTTAACAGTCCACTTCTCCTCAGTGGTGATTGTTAGAGGAAGGGGATATCCTTTTTCTGTTTCCATTCTCAAAGTGAGGACTTAGACATACTGACAGTGGATCAATTCAAAATATTCAGAATCAGCATGGCAGGATTAAAACACTCATATTTTCAAAAAGAAGTTGAAAACTATGTGTTTTTCAACCGAAATTCAAAGCATGTTTAAAAAAAAACCTTTGAGAACACATGTTAAAATTGTGTGTATCCTGCCAATCACACTAACCATCAGCTTGATTCTACATCAAGATTATTTTTGCAAGTGTTAAATAATGTGGAAGTTTATTAGAATTATTATTCTTTATAATTTTCTTAACATACAGAGTAACTGCATTTGACCTAAATTCCATATTCCTATTTCAGTCGATTAGCAACTTGGCTATCAGGAAACCAGCAAGAGCTTGTAGAAATGTGGAAAGTGCCCCAACACAGTATGACACAGGGCCATACTGTTGGCCCATCTAACCCAGTTTTGTCAATTTGGACTGGCAGTAGTTTTCCAGTTTTTAAGTAAAGTCTTTCGTACCTATATTTGAAGATTCCTGGTTTACATGGTGATCTCTTTTTCAAGTAGTAAGCCGAACCCTGCAGATCTCCAAAAATAGGATGAGATTAGTGGTGTTCAGGGTGGTACATTGTTCAGTTATAGAGAGCTTCTGCTTTTTTAAAAAATGTATTAATTTGCATCAGTTCAGGTGTGTGAGCTCTTGAACAGATCCAGAAAAGCCACCATTCCACCATACATCGCTCCACCATACACCGTACCCATAAGCAAGACTCATTCATTCTTGATCTTTTTTTTTAAGAGCTAAAGGCAAAGCCAAGCCTCTCAGCTTGCAAAGCTGGCAACACTTTTTTAAAAAAAAACATTAGGAAGCCAGTGTTCCTGTTCTAGCTCTCAGCTTGCAAAGCTGGCAACACTTTTAAAAAAACAACATTAGGAAGCCAGCGTTCCTGTACTAGGGCACCTAAACAACACCCCCCCCCCAAAAAAGCTAATGAGATGAGGAAACCAGAGGAGGAAACAATTGTTACAGCTTGTTAGGCAGTTCTTTTTAACTGTGTCTCTGACAGCAAACAAGGCTTTTCTCTTGTCTCCCTGTTTGGCCACTTAAATTGGATCTGAATTCTAGATGGAGTCTTGTGGTGCAGTAGTTTAACTGCAGTACTGCAGTGAAGATTCTGTTCATGACCTGAGTTTGATCCTGGGCTCATGGAGCTGGCTTGAGGTTAACTCAGCCTTCCATCCTTCCGAGTCAGTAAATTGAATGCCCAGCTCATGGGGTGGGGTGGGAGGGCAGCGGCCAATGTGTAGCTTGCATAACTAAATTGTAAACCACGCAGAGAGAGCTTTAAACACTATGAGGTGTTATATAAGCAGCACACTTAAGGCCCAGAATAGTACTTTGCACTAATGGTCCAGTATACAAATAAAATAAAATAACACATCTTTAATTTTGTCAACAATAGGAAGGTGACCGTCTGAGTGATGAAGACCTGTACAAGTTTCTTGCAGATATGAGAAGGCCGTCTTCTGTTCTGCGGAGGCTAAGGCCTATCACAGGTATTTTGGGTTTGCTTGGAGGTAAAATGCAAGTAAGGACGTGGTAGCGCTGTGGGCTAAACCGCAGAAGCCTGTGCTGCCGTGTTAGAAGACCAGCAGTCGTAAGATCGAATCCACGTGGTGGAGTGAGCTCCCGTCGCTTGTCCCACCTCCCGCCAACCTAGCGGTTCGAAAGCATGTAAATGCGAGTAGATAAATAGGGACCACCTCGGTGGGAAGGTAACAGCGTTCCGTGTCTGAGTCGCACTGGCCATGTGACCATGGAAGATTGTCTTCGGACAAAACGCTGGCTCTATGGCTTGGAAACAGGGATGAGCACCGCCCCCTAGAGTCGAACACGACTGGACAAAAATTGTCAAGGGGAACCTTTACCTTTACCTTTACCTTTTAAAATGCAGGTAAGGTGTTTGATAGTTTCAGCTAGCTTCAGAATTGTAATAAGTAGGTATGGCTGACAATTATAAAAATGAGTTTTAAAATGTCAACAAGATAAATGAAAGGTGATTGTCCTATATGATGAATTAAACACAATTACCTCTCAGAGTCTTGATCTATTCATACTGTAGACAAAAGAACATATACTAATTAATTTGATTCCACATTCTACTGGGTCCATCAAAGCAAAAATCAGGTTGCAGTTGTTGGTTCAGAATGCATAGAACACATATTAATTTCTGTAACAAGAACTTATTAATAATTCAGAAAACACAGTTTTAATCTTCCTATATTGTGAGATTTTAGCTATTTCTAGAACAATATGTTAATAATTTGTACCCAGCAAAAAAATAAAATAAAACTTCTTCGGTGAAGTTTTCTTTCTGGTCACCTGACAATAATTCTTAGCCATCACAGGCAACCAGGCAAGTAGCTGTTCACAAGGTTAAAAGAAATAATATGATTTCTCTTCACATAGCTCAGCTGAAGATAGACATTTCTCCAGCTCCAGAGAACCCACAGTACTGTTTAACTCCAGAGCTGCTACAAGTGAAACTTTACCCTGACAGCAGAGTACGACCAACAAAAGAGATTCTGGAGTTTCCTTCAAGGGATGTTTATGTTCCAAATACAACATACAGGTAAGAGTGAAAAAATAGACTTTAACTTCAGTGTATATAATGTATTCATTGGCTAAACTTCTGTTGCTTATTGTGATAAGTCACATTAGAGTAGCCTATTGGAGCAGTGGAGATTTGGTGAGTCAAATCATCCATAAGCTCAACTGGGCCTATTCTTAGTACAACTTAATTCGGCATAGTAAATTGCAGTAAGAGTAGGATCATTGAAAACAGTGGAATGTATGAAGGAGTTCAGTTACCAAATCCCTATTGATTCAGTTTAACCAGGTACAGTATATGAAGTAAATCATGCGGAGACTAATGAGTGCATTTAGGATAATCATTCAATAATCAGTTAATTGCCCAGGCTGTGGATAGCTTAAGAAAAAGTTTTTAGATTGTTTTAGCAGATCATGTGGCGCTCTGCTGGCAGAATGGCAGAATCCAACAGAATTAGGAGACAGGTCTTCTATGAACACCCCCCCCCCCAAACTGGAGCTGTAAAATTCACTGGTGGCAGTTTTCAGGTGCTACTCCAAGCTACATGAGTGAGAACAGAGGAAAATTCCATTGTGACCACAGCAATCTTGGAATTTGCCCATTGTTGTCCTGTCAGGCTCATAATTAGCCCGAGTCATATCTGATGCTTTCTTGCTTAGTCTTCCATGCCAAATTTATAAAATGTTCTCCAAGAACTCTATTAAATTGCTATTGGATTTAATATATGGGACCACGAGACAACGATTATATTGTACTAACAATGATGAGACCTGATTCATAGACAAGAAGGATCATGGGAAGAGAAATACAGTGGTGCCTCGCTAGACGATTGCCTCGTGAGACGAAAAACCCTCAAGACGATTGGTTTTTGCGATCACTGTGGTACCTCGCAAGACGTTTTTTTCTATGACCATGATTTGCAAGACTTTTTTTGAGACCTATGTATAGGGTTAGGGTTCGCAAATTTTTTTTTCACGAGACGATTTTTGCGGAACGAATTAAAATGTCTTGTGAGGCACCACTGTAGCCTTATTGCCTCCCATCTTATTGTCTGCCCATGTGAATCATACTTTCTTATACATCAAGACTGAACTTTGGGTTGTGTTCCTCTATTATGCGTAATTTACCGCTGGGACAGGACGAGTTTGAAATCAGGGTGATTAAGCCACTCTAAAATTGACTAACTTTCCCTTAGCTGTACAGCAAAATTAATGCATTTTAGAACCCACTGTCAAACAGAACCATATGTAATTAAGCTTGCTCCATATTTATATTATGTATGGAATAGACCAATTTGGAAGGACATGGGCTAGAAAGAGCTTCAGTTTTCAACACTCTATTTACTAGCCTCATACCAAATTCTGAAAATAGCAGAACAGTTTTGTCTAAAACCTGGCTGTTCTTCAGGGAGCAGGCCAGTTGTCTTTCTTCTCAAGGAGAATTTTAATAATCTTCAATGCCAAATCAAGAATAGAGTTTGGAAGGTAATTCCATGTCTTTTTTCAACTATGTATATTTTTAGGGGTTAGGGCAGAAGGAAAATAATTGTGGTCAGCCAACCATTAGCGAATGTGCAATAAATCAATGCAGGTAAAAGTCTTAGCAAGGACACCACACTACCAAATAATATATGTAAAGTACAGTAAAAAAAGACTCTTTCCAGGGGCTCTTCTAGAACCCGGATGCTTGCACCCCCCCCCCCCCGAAATGGTATTGAGCCATGAGTGGGCAGTGGGGATCATTGTAAAAGTGAATGATGTATATCATTAGCTTGTATTAGATTATTACATTTCTTGACTTTACCATTAGTAATCAGTTTGTTAAGATTATTTGCATTAAGAGGTTTTGTTTACATAGTAAATGCCGTCAAGCTAAGCAGAGGGTGGCTGTGAAAATGTGAGGGATCGCCCCAGTAATACAGTGAGAACAAATGAATGTCAGATGGTTATGTTCTAGAGTTCTAAGATGGACCAATGAAATGCATTTTTGCACACTGAATAATTTAGCCATCATCATAGGCATCCTTCAGTCTCGAGAGACTATGGTAACATGCTCTGAATCAAGGAGTGTCCTCTCCAGAGCATGAAGCCTGGGCAAATTGATATAGAGGATAGGCTGTTACCCAAGCAGCAGATTCCCCCTCTCCACGTTGCTGAAATGGTCCAATGAAAAGGCAAGAGCCAATACAACTGGTTCTAGCAATGTCGCAGGAGTTGGCAGAACGACACGAACTGCCTTCGGGACTCCAGCTCCGGATTTTGCCTCTAGGTTAACTCCTGAAGCCTTTTCCATGAGTGGATATAGCCGCAATGCAGCGGAAGTTTGAAATTGGAGTTTTCCTTCTCCTAGCTGGGCTGCCTTCCATGGCTGACGAGCCCCACCTAATTTAGCCATAGGGCGTTGCAAAGGGAATAACCTGGTTGAATTGTAAACATTGTTTATTGAGCTACTTTGGCTGGTAAGAATGTTAGAGAGTGTTGTGATAGCTTAAAGTTCAAGAAATTTCTAATAAATATGCCAGAAAAATATTTAAGAGGCTATAAGAATCTTAGTTTTGATGCATTAGGTTGATAAACCTACTCTTCTGCAGCTAACACCCACTGCTGAACCTGCATTTTCAATCTGCATTTTGATACGTGGGTGCCCTTCTTACTGGGAAATAACAGCTTGTGTGCTCTTATGCATCTTAATTGAAAGGATATTGCATTGGATGGACCACTGTTGATAGTCCTTCACCAAGATAATTCTTATTTATGCAATTAGCTTGACAGTTCCTGTGTCCTTGTGGCAAACTTAGGTTGCTATTATCCACATATTTCTTTGTCAGAAAGCTGCACCAAAGCTGAACCAAAAATAATTCTAAAATATAAATAAATAAATGTTGGGCATCATCCTAGAGGATTCCCAAGCTTGAATAGCTTTTAATTTGTAATCTCTTGCTTCTTGTCATTGTTGCAATTGTTCCCTTTATCTGTGTTAAAAGAATTATATGATTCTCACAGCACTGGGGTTTCCAGTGCTACTACTATCAGTATTCATATAGCTAAACTTATCTGAAGAACATGTGTGTCTTGAAATACAGATGGATGTGTAGTTAGGATGTTTGGGTTGTTTTCTTTGAGTTTTTTGTGAGAGATTCACACTAACTTATTGGGCAAATTTGACTTAGAGAAAATGTACAAGAAAATAAATTGTGATTAGTGCCTTTCTCCTGAATCTGCAACCGAGCGGAATTAGCTTGGATTAGTGCTAGATGCCCATAGCAACTCCACAGCATGTTATAGATCATTGCGTTTAAAGGAGATGGCACATTAAGCAAGAGTTTAAAAACTATTTGTTAAAAAAATGGCCAGCCACTTCTGGATTTAATATAATACTTATTTTCTGCACTGTATGGGTATTTAAATTTTTCTTTATAAGTTTTTCAGAACTGTTTTTAATACACTAACATTAGTAAGTATGCTGTCATATAATTGACATCAAAGCAATTTGTTATAACTTGTTTCAAGTAGACCTATTGCATACTAAATGAAGGTGAAGGTAGGAAACAGGTGTTTATTCTTATCCATTGATCAGTTAAAATGCTAAAATGTGTACAAAACCGTGCTATCATAATGCACAGCAGTAGTGTGATGAAAAATCATTAAAATCCAGCAAATCTTCCTGTGTCCCTTTTATCCGTTTGGTTTTTAACAACTCAATTTGTGTCCGAAGCTAGTTCTGCACAAATCCCCTTTTTTTGATTGGCAACTGCTTAGTGTGCAGCAAGAGTACATTATTTTCAACAGTATATAGGAGGCGTATCAGGACCAAACTGTTAAGGTTGCTTATTAAAACAAAACAGTTCACATTATGATACAAAGTTTATATCTGCCTGAAGCTCCATTGGTACAAGTTCCAGCATTGCTTTTTTGTCTTATTTAAAAAGTAGTTATCATTGTTACAAACCCAAGGCATAACATTTTTTTGACAAGATTATCAAAAAATTCCAGTGTATCGTTTCCAAAATTAACTTGCACACAGCTTAGAACTGAACTCTTATTTTTGTTGTTCATGGAGATCATGTGCAAATGAGCTATATTCCTTATATTGTGCAAGTAGAATAGCCAGGATGAGGACCACAATGCTGGAAAGTTATTGCTATAAACAGAATTGTTTTGACACGTTTCACATAATTCCAAGATTTGTTCCTTTGCTTGAAGTGCTATGGGGTAGTAAATTTATTTTATTTTATTTTATTTTATTCAATTTTTACCCTGCCCCTCTAGACAACGTCTACTTGGGGCGGCTTACATCAGCACACTATTGCTTTTGCTCAAAAATTTCAACGTCTACTCGGGGCGGCTTACATCAGCACGCTTTTGCTCTTGCTCAAAAATTCTATCGCTTGTCTCAACTTTGCTCAATTGTTGAGCAAAGCAACAAATGTACACTGAATAAATTGTTAAATGTTACATCAAGACTTATACAGAACCCCTTCACATTCGTTGAGCTGCTCTAGTGGAGATAGCACAATAGCATTCTGGCCTTTGCTTCCTTTTATTGCAAGCTAAAATTCAGTTGTTAATCTCAACTACAGTAGACCAATCAAATTAATGAGATTTGTGTGTTGATTTAACAGGTTGCTCAATGGGTCTGCTCTAGTTACAATTGGCTTTATTCCAACATTACTTCATCTTCCCTTGAGTTAGTATTTCAGAGAATGTTTTGAAATTGGATATATTTTCCAAAAAATACATGTTTCTAACTCAGCAAACATTATTTGAAACATTCAAAGCCACAGCAGTGATCTACAACTTGTAACCTACCTCATATCTGAAACAGAATGCAAAAACGTAAGGTTCTTGACGTGAAGACAGAGTTTCTGTCAAATTCGGTTAAAATAAAAATGAAACAATCACAAAAGGAATGTCTTATCATTATGATCGTGATGAAGAATGGTGGCGGATGAATAGGGGAACTTAATATGTGCGTAGTTTGCACTGCTGCTTTCCCCCTTGGGATATCTAAACAATGAAGGCCAACATCAGGGAGTTTCAGAAGGTTACTCACTAGAGTGGTGTTCTGAATTTAGTACTTCAAATGGTTCTAGAAGGATGAATGATAGACATTCTTTTACACAGAAGAAAATAAAAGGGTATATTTTGCAATATTGTTAAGGTGGAAGCAAAGTCACATCCCAGACGTTGGAAGAGGATCATGTTTTCTGTCACATCTGAATTTTTGAAAACCCAGGTCCATTTATTTTGCATCATTCATTTAGCTGAAGCTCTTGAGTTGTATGAGGAAAAAGGCACTTGTAAGAATAATGAGTCATTGCTCAGATGAAGGAAATCTAGCTCTTAGATCCTAAACTGTATCCTATACTCCACTGTGTTTATAGTGTTCCATAGAACTCTATGAAAGCCTCAGAACTGAGTAGGAAACCGTAAAAATGTTCCACTCAGGGCACCTTTCTGGGAAGGCAGAGTCTATAAATCTGAAACCCTCTATATGCCAGTTTACTTTCCTGACCAGATGGTATGAACAAAAGAGTAACTTCTCACCATCGGGGTAAGTTGCTCTCATCCTCTTTTTTTGCATAAAGTCACATGATGGATTGGGAAGTTCAGGATGCTGTGGAATGATGAACTGTTTACCCTTTGGCTCAAATCATCCTTTTATTGGTGTCCCTACTGTGTCAAAAAGAAGAACAAACCTATCCATTTTGAAGGAAATCAACCCGGAGTCCTCACTGGAAGGACAGATCCTGAAGCTGAGGCTCCAATACTTTGGCCATCTCATGAGAAGAGAAGACTCCCTGGCAAAAACCCTAATGTTGAGAAAGTTTGAGGGCAAGAGGAGAAGGGGACAACAGAGGACGAGATGGTTGGACAGCGTCACCAAAGCTACCAACATGAATTTGACCCAACTCCGGGAGGCAGTGGAAGACAGGGGGGCCTGGCCTGCTCTGGTCTATGGGGTCATGAAGGGTCGGACATGACTGAACGATTAAACAAACAACAACTGTGTCAAAAGACTTTTCCTTGCCATGCTTCTTCCAGCACATATGCTTCTTTTTGGTTCCATGTGGTAAGATCCCAGGCAATTCTGCTGCTCAGAGAAAAGAGACCTGAGGCAAAACTTTTCTTTTCTCCTTTCTTGTAACTGTGGTAAAACATCTTCAAATACTCTTATCCCTGGAGCTAAGATATGCTTACCGATAGCAGAAAATGTAATCTATCAGGTTTCCAATGTACTACGTGCCTAGATAACCTGATTTCCCTTATCTATATGTAGAGCTCTCTTTGTCTTATGAAAACAATGGGCCACGACTTTCTGAGTTATCTGTGACAATCACATAAGAAAAACACATTGGTATCATACAATGCCACCATTTACTTGCGGTGGAATTCTTTGCTCTGATGCCGTTTGAGTATTGAAAAGAGCTTTTAGCTGGCTAACTGAAGTACAACATTACTTTATTGTATAAAGTCTGATTCAAGACGCTCATTCAAAATTTTCAAAATCAGTTGGGTGTATCATCAATTTAGTTGATTTGAGAAGATACGGTCTTCCATTCTGAGGTTTCCAGTACAGTCCTTTCCTCCTCTTTTGTAGTTTACCTTTTGAACTTGTCCTGATATATTTCCCATTTAAGTTTGTTTCTCCACATGCACTGTACCACCAACCACCTGAAGAAGATATTATAAACATCATTTAATTCATGTAGTGAGAGTTAAATATTATTAGAGTCATCAAAAAGCAAGGGCATTGTCCATACAGCCTTTCTGGGCACCTTTTCTGTACACAGGGCTGTATGCAAATCCTGGGCTCGCAAATCCTGGGCAGTATTATAGATAGGTTATTGGATGGTGTGAAGAGTCATTTGTGGTGGAAAAAAGGGAATTTGGAAGCATGGCTGTCTGTCTGAAGTTTGTACTACTCGTTTACCTTGAAGCCTTTGGCTTTATTTTCTAAAGTTCTCCCTAATATTTGTTAGAAGGTGAAAGATGTAGTACTACTCGTTTACCTTGAAGCCTTTGGCAAAGCACGTAGTGTGGTATTCTGTTATTTTCTAAAGTTCTCCCTAGTATTTGTTAGAAGGTGCAAGATGTGGGAGGGAAGCGCTAGGGGCAGATTTGTGCATTCATTAAACGTATGGAATATAGCTTTCCAAGTACTGGAAGAACTGCTTTCCTCAGCATGATTGGCAGGGATGATCTTCCCTCTCCACTGCCGCCACCCTCTGTACTCCAAAAGCTGCTATGTGCAGCTAATCATCATCATCATCATGTACCATGAAGTCAGTTCTGATTTATGGCTGTCCTTTTCAGAGTTTTCCAGGTAGAGAGTACTCAGAAGTGGTTTGCTATTCCTGTCTTCTGGGGGTGTCCTGGGGTTGTGCAGCTTGCCCAAGCCCACGCAGGCTGGAGGCACAGTGAGGAGGAATCAAGCTCCTTCCTAGCCTTTAGCTCCACAGCCAGATACCTAAACCACCGAGCTATCCAGTGTGACTAGGAAGCCTTTTACAATTAGTTTTCAAACAGCACTGAGGGCTGCAGGGGGAGGAGAAGAAAGATTCATGATGCTGGTACTGAAATGCCAGCATACTCGTACCACTGGATTACGCCTGCTGCAAAGTCTTGCCTGTGATGTACCAGCCACATGTGGACAGCATTTGTTTGAAGGCAGGGGAGCTATCAAATCTGCAGCCTTCCAACTGCTGTGCCTCTTTGTTCTTCTGTACTAGTTGCTTGGCTCCCAGTTCTTAATTTCCAGCATTTTATTATCCTTCTGTTGAGGGCAAGGGAAGATAACTTCCTGAAGTCTCAAGGATGCATTTGGCCACTCCTGGACCTTGTAGGGCTGAAACTATCCCCTCACTCTCCTCTTAAAAAAAAAAAAACTTTTTAGAAATTTTGCATAATCTTTTGCACTCTAGTGGCAGCAGGAGGCAATGTTACCTTTTTTTTTTTTTTAAATCCCCCTTTTCTGTTCTAAGTGACTTCCCATTTTGAAGGAAGATCTTATGTCTGCCTAAAACAGCTTAGGAAGATCTGAAAGGATGCCTAAATTTCCCTTCATGCCTCCTAGAAGGCAAATTAAAAAAACACAATCAGAGTGCTGGAGCCTTGCACATGGGTGCATTATCTCAGTCCTGATTTAGATGGTTTATAATATGCTTACTATTCTTGACATAAATAAGTATTCTTCTGAGTAAACACGGTAAAGCTAAAGGAATGGCATGTACACAAAATGGCTACCTGAGTCACTTTCTGGACAGCTGAGTTTTCTTTCCGTGTTGTTTCTGTGATCCTTTGTAGAGAACTTTATCTCTTTCTGTTCGGGCAAGGCATTGGGGATATTCCCAGTAATCCGGAAGAGGAGAATTGTGTAGTCTGTTTCTGGCCCTCCTATTGTGATTGTGTACTCAATGTAACGCTTGTTAGCTTTCCAGTCTTCTAGTTCAATACGTAAGAGATAGTCAGCTTGGTCTACAATGGAGTAGATCTTATGTAGGCCCAACCAAAATTCTCCTGAAAATGCAAGTTGCAGAAGCAGTGTAAATTCAAGGCAAGATTAAAAGCATCTGATTTACTAATCAGGTTTACTAATTGTATGAGTCCTGAAGAGAACTTGAGTCTTGGGAACTGTTGAACTTTTCGAGTAATTCGTCCTGTAAATCTCTTTTTTGTTTGTATCTCTTCTATTATGCACTAATGCACAATTTAAAACAAAGGTGAAAACTAAATATAAATAAGATGGAGCTTTAGAGCTTGTCAAAGGTTGCAAGAGAGGATTCAAGGCATATTTAACAGAAGTTTGTGAATGAGTCTCTGTGATAAGTGAAGCAAGTGGCATATATAAAAGTTAATTGCAGTGAAATGGACTGTCATTCACGAGAAAGAAATATACCCTCAGTAGGCATTTTGGTAGTGTCACTTACCACTTTGCATATAATTTAAGCCTTTTAAGTGGACTACGTGCAGCACAATCTTAAGCAAGTTTACTCAGGAATAAGCTGTGCAGAATACAATGACCCTTGCTACCGCAGAAGTGTGCAGTGGTTTTCAACTTTACAGTGCAATCCCGTTTGTGTTCCACTCAGGGGGAAGTCTCCTTAAGCGGTGGCTTACTCTCAGATGTGGAAATACAGGATTGCATTCTTGAATAATGGTACTGTATTTAAATTGTTGTAAGCCACCCAGAGACCTTTGGGTAGTGTGGCCAGCATATAAGTTAAATAAATAAATATTTTACGAGTGCACTATGATGTTGCATTTTTGCTTCAGTTCACTTAGCGAATTTGCAGGCTGGTATTTTAACATCTTTCATCTCTGATCTTGCTCATGTGGAAGAGTATTGTCAATAGGGATGCAACCTGCAGTTTTCTAGGATTCTTGCTTCCAGTTTACCTGGAACCCCCAAGGCAGAATTGTGAGAGTGGGAGAGCAACGCCAGAAGGCAGAAAAAGAGGTATCCCTATTGCCGTATGTGCTGCATACCGCATTTCCAAATAAAATTCCAAATTCAGTCTCTGGTATCTGTGGTTAAAAACACTGCTGAGTTTAACCCCAAAGAAATCCCAGAATCAGAACCATTGCCTCTGCCAGATTAGAGCTGGCACCAGTACTTTCTTCTGCACCAGAACCAGTTGATTCAGGGAAGGAAAATACAGAGAACTGCCTAGAAGTCCCATCTACCTTTGCTAGTTTGCCAGTCATCAGGAATTGAAGGTGGCAAGATTCTGCTGCTATACATAGATACACACACATATGCAATCACACAGATAAACACACATCCCTGATGATTACTATAAAAAGAAATGAAGGTGTGTAAAAGCTGCTCCAGCGGCAAAAGTATTGAGAAGAAATGACTTACCCTGAACTTTTGTTTGGATTTTAAATGCAAGGGAAAGCAGCGCTGCTTTAAATTTTTTTGAGACCTTGGTAAATTGTGTTATCATTCAGTTATTTTAACAGCCGTATGTGCAAAATATTTTTGGAGCTTTTACTAGTTCCTGCTTAGCCCTGTATTGTGAAATACATGCTGTTAATGAGTTCAAGTGACTTGCAAGCTTATGTTGTGGAAGAATACCTTGCAGATTAAATAATACTGTGTGGTCTCTAACAGAATCCTTAATGTATTCTCGAAGGCTTTCATGGCCAGGATCCGATGCTTGATGTAGGTTTTTCAGGCTGTTTGGCCGTGTTCTGAAGGTTTTTCTTCCTAACATTTCGCCAGTCTCTGTAGAGTTCATTGACCTTTTGCAGGCTGTATTTTTCAGTGCTGGAAGCCAGGCTTTGTTGAGTTTTAGACTTTCTTCTTTTTTGTTGAAGCTCTGCTGGTGTTTGTGGATTTCTGTGTAGTCTAACATAATGATTGCTGGTGTTGTCCAGTACATCTGTATTTTGAAATAGAATTTCATGTCCAGCTTGTTTCAGGGCACGTTGAGTTACTGCCGATTTTTCCAATTGTCTTAGTCTGCAGTGTCTCTCATATTCTTTGATTCTGGTGTGGATGCTATGTTTTGTGGTCCCAATATACTGTATACCTGGCCAGAACTGCAAGGGTGAGGGGGTGATATACTCCTGCAGCGGTGAGGGGGTCCCTTTTGTCCTTTGCTGACCATAACATTTGTTGTATTTTTGTGGTGTCAATCACACTGACAGACCATCTCCCCCCCTTATCTCAGCAATACACCCATAACAAAACAAAAAACAAAAAAACCACCCTGATCAACATAATCACCTAATCTCCTGAAAAAGACAAAAAGCTGATCCCACAGCTACAAATACTCAACTACCTACACCAGAACACAGAGTTCTGTCCTCTGAAGATGCCGGCCACAGAGACTGGTGAAATGTTAGTAAGAAAAACCTTCAGAACATGGCCAAACAGCCTGAAAAACCTATAACAACCATAGAATCCTTAATGTTTAGTCTTACTGTGTAGCAGGAACAGCATTTGTTTAATATGTGTAAGATCATGGGTTTAACCTCTGCAGTCTCTGTTAAAAAGGATCTTGGATAGCAGGGCCTTGGAAGAGAAATCTGGGATATAAGGATCTACCTGGCTCTGGGTTAAAATATAATGTATAAGGAAGCATCATATGAGTGACCTATTAATTATTCCAGTAATACAGCAAAATGTTTTCGTACATGCCTATGTGTCATGTACTTAAAAATAGAATTTATACTCTGGAAATTCTGAAATTGGAAATAATGAATTTCTGGGTAAGAACAGTGAAGGTAATTGAACTACTTACAGTTAAGGGAGTTTAAGATTGAAGGTACTAGAGTACATTGCTGTGGTATATTGCACAATCCCTTGTCTCGTCAAGCAATGCTGCCACTTTGATCCCTGTCCCATGTAGCCTATTTGTCGAAGTAGCTTGAAATAGATCTTTAGCACATTTTGCTGGATTAGCATTTGCTGACCTGTGCGCTGTGTTGCAGGTGAATGATAAACCAAACACAAGTGGGGTGGTTTCTTTCCACACACACATTGATTGGCTCATAAAATTTAAAAATTGGGGTTTACACTGAGGTAAATCTAATGACTTTAGCCCTGACCTAACATTATTTTAGTGCCTAGGTTAAAGAAGGATGTTGTGACTATCGCCACATAGGAGCTTCTCTGGGATCCATTATGGGGATACGTTCAAAACTATTCTAACAGTTCTTTCAGTAATGTTTTGTGTGTGTGTTTTAAGTCAGTATTCCCCAACCTTTTCCCAACCGCGGACTGGGTGGGGTGGGGTGGGGTCCGTGCACAAGGAGTATGGCACACTCACAAGGGGAGCGGGGAGCGCTCATGGGTGGGGATGGCGCGCTTGCACGCATGCGCGTGAGGGCATGGCAGACTTGTGTGCATGCGCTGGGGAGCGCTCGAAGGGACGCTCATGGGAGGACAGGAGATCTGTGTCATTGCCTGGTCCTACCTAGGCCACGGACCAGTGCCAGGTTGCGGGCCGGGGATTGGGGACCCTTGTTTTAAGTAACACATTTGCCATCTTTCCCCTCTCAGAATAACACAGCAGTTACTCATCACTGTATGCATAACAACATGCTACTTTTTCTTCCAAATCAACCCACTCCCCAAAAAAGTTTTTGGAAGTAACTACTGTATTAATGTTAATTGTTACAAAAAAGGGCGCTGGGGAGCGCTCGAAGGGACGCTCATGGGAGGACAGGAGATCTGTGTCATTGCCTGGTCCTACCTAGGCCACGGACCAGTGCCTGGTTGCGGGCCGGGGATTGGGGACCCTAAGTAACACATTTGCCATCTTTCCCCTCTCAGAATAACACAGCAGTTACTCATCACTGTATGCATAACAACATGCTACTTTTTCTTCCAAATCAACCCACTCCCCAAAAAAGTTTTGGGAAGTAACTATTAATGTTAATTGTTAAAAAAAGGAGATTATTTGTCATTACATTAATTCTGCAAAGTGCCATAATTGAGTCTGCATTACTCCAAAGTAACTTGCTATAAGTGATGTCATTATTTATAATGCATTACTTCCAGTCTCTGGTTGTTTGAATATGCATTCAAGTGTTTGTGCAAAACATGTTTTGATTGAGTCACACAGGAGAATATTAAGCCTTAAACTGACATCTGTTGGGAATTCTAAAAACATGTATTTGTCTTAATTAACTGGTGTTCTGAGCCGTTTGCATATGTAGGGTTTAGCTGATCTGTAGTAATCAAATACCTGGGATGAAAGCTTCCATGCACACTTCCTCATTCATTTTAATGGGGCCCTTGCAGCAAAAGTTGAGGCTGCACCACTGTTAAAGCTGCTTCACTAATGGTGGAGGAGAGTTTCATTCTGAAACTGAAAAGGATGACCTGGAGCCTTTAAAACTCTAAAGGAAGATTTCTGTGCTAAATACGGCAGTAAATGGATAATTTAATAATTGCATTAAAAAAACTGGCAAGCATGCATAAAATAAATAAGCCAACAATATAATTTATCTAAAATTAGAATTTTTTTACATTGGACATACTATTGCTTATGTCAATATACGACAAATCCACATTGTTGGATGACTAGGATCACATCACAGGCCATCAGATTCATCTTACTGTGAATGGGTTTGGAGTATGTCTGGTCACTGAAATTGTAAGGTGCCTATAATGCTCTGGTCTCATTGGGCATTTGTTAATTTGTTTGCTTGTTTATTTATTTATTTATTTTACGTGTGAGCAAACAGAGTATTTATTTATTTATTTATTTATTTTATGTGTGAGTAAACAGAATAGCAGACATTGTTGTGATGAATTGATAAAAATGTTGGTTGTATGTTAATTGGATGCCTGATACTTTTTTCATTTAGTTACAGATAGCTCCAGTAACTGCCACAATTCCTATTGTTGACATTTGCAATAACATTTTGTTGTTGGAAAAATCACATTAATATCAGTTTCACTGGTGATTTTTTGGACTTCATACAGCCTGTTTTGTTTGTACCAGCTTGGACTGAGTTGGTAGGGAGTAAAAAAAATTAAGCAGTTTGGGAAAGAAGACCCAAATAGAAATTGTGGATCAGTTCTTTAAAAACAATGTGTTTTTGTTGTTGTTTTTGCTTTACACAAGTTGCAGGCTGAAATCCTATTGCATAACTCTGTATGCGTGACTCAGAGTTACACAAACCATAGGGAAAATCATGCCAAGGTGGAAGTAATAGTCATAGAAGACTTCTGCAGTCATGCTGCCCCATAGTCGTACCATGCATGCCATAAAATGTACCATCACTTGCATAGTGAAATTGTGTGAAGCAGATTGCCTGAGAGTAACACCTTGCACACTTTTGTAGAAGTAATTTTACATTAAATCAGCTTCAACAGGTTCCAACCACACTCAACTGCCGTTTATAACATAAAAATGACTTTTAAGCTCTAGGAAATTTTTATAAGAGCAAAAATACGTATATTTACCACCAAGGTTACCAAACCCATTTAAATAGTTCTCCCAGGTTTGATTGAAATCCAGGGATCCATCAGATCTGTTTTGAATAACAGTCCATGAGCTATCTGTGTAGGAAAATGATAAAGAATAAATATGACTTGTTGACTACTTTTGCAAAATAACACCCTCCCCAACTTTGGCAGACATGAGACAAATTCCCACTGTGTTTCTGTATGAGTGCTCTTTATGTACTGGAATGCAGAAATAAAAATAAGATATACTTTGCCCTGATGGACATGTTTTAGAATGCTTATTGAATGGACACAGTCATGTGAGCATCCATGGTGTCTCTCCACGCAGTCTGCTAGCTGCTGGAGGGAGAGAGAGAGTAATAATCTGGTTTAGAGAGAGAGAGAGAGAGAGAGTAATAATCTGGTCTCAGAGTTCTCATCTCGTGCTTTTGAAAGATAAGTAATTAACATAATGACCTTACAGATGTTGCTTTTTTAAAAGTATAACAATTAGCAAATTATACTCAAACATTTTGATAGAGATGTACTGTAAAATCAATGTTGTGCTAATGAATCTCTGCTACTGTCCTGGGATTGTTTTCTCTTCCACCTTTCAGTCCTCCAGTCTCCCCAAAAACCTGTTCCAGAGGTTTTCCGAGATTTCCAGAGCAGATTTTGAAAGTTCATGGGCCAACTGCTGGGAGGAAGGGCCTCCTTGCTGTTGTGCTGATGAAGGCTGTGGTGGTAACAAAATAGGCCCGCTGGATCCTGGTCCTTTTTTGCTGCCTGCTTGCCTTCATTAAAAGATCCTCAGAAAATAAGTGTATGTGGCAGCAGAGATGTGAGAAGAGATGTGAAAGGGGAGTAAGTACAGTGGTGCCTCGCTTAATGACGATAATCCGTTCCAGGAAAATCGCTGTTAAGCGAAAACATTGTAAAGTGAAATAAAAAACCCCATTGAAACGCATTGAAACCTGTTCATTGCGTTCCAATGGGGTAAAAACTCACAGTCCAGCGAAGATCCTCCATACGGCGGCCATTTTCGCTGCCTGTATAGCGAGGAATCTGTCCCTAAACACAGCGAGGAGCCATTCTAATTCCCCGGTGGCCATTTTGAAACCGCCAATCAGCTGTTAGAAAAACATCATTTTGCGAAGAATCAGTTCCCGAAGCAGGGAACCAATCACCGCAAAGCACTGCGATCGCAAAAAGATCACCACCCCATTTAGACAATCGTTTTGCGATCGCAGTTGCAATTGCAAAAAGATCGTCATAAGCAGATTCGGCATAATGCGGGGGAACCGTAAAGCGAGGCACCACTGTACTGTAATATGTTGTCCAAATGTGAAGTGAAGCGAGGCACCACTGTACTGTAATGTGTTGTCCAAGTGTGAAGTAAGAGGAGATTAAAAGTATTAAGATTAAGTAAACAAACACCAGTCAGAGTGGCTAAGACTATTTTTGCCAGATTAATAAAGCATATTGATCATTCTCAGCACTTGTTCACAAGGTAGAAGACTGATGCAGTTTCCTGTCATATGGGAGTGGAATCATATGGAATGTTGTAGACATAAAATGGTATCAAAGGGTGTGACAGTTGCTTAGCATTTGATTTGATTCATCAAGCTTGGGCTGTTAAAGCCAGAAAAGGAAGGTATGAGTTGAAATGAGTCCATGGTATTATGCCTTTCAGTGTTATTAATGGCAGAGAAAACTTTGTACAGAGAGTTGCAGACATAATGTTAAAGTCTGTTTAAAGCTAAGGTATAGCTAACAGGATTCTTAGCTCTTATAAGGTGGAAGGTCTTCTTTCATTTCTATAGTTCCTTTTGAAAAACTAAATACAGTGGTGCCTCGCATAGCGATCGCTCTGTATAGCGATGAAATTGCTTTGCGATGGACTTTTTGCCATCGCAATTATTATTATTTATTGTATTTATACCCTGCCTATCTAGTATTTTCGACCACTCTAGGCGGCTTTGCGATGGCGAAATTTCGCTTTGCGATGATTGCAGGGAAAGCGATAGTCGCAAAGCCCCCATTTTTGGCCAGCTGATCGGCGGTTCCAAAATGGCCGCCGGGTAAACAAAATGGCCTCCCGCTGTTTTGCCTCGCTTTAGAGGCACCGAAAATGGCCGCTGCAATGGAGGATTTTCGCATAAGGTTAGTTTTTAAGCCCATAGGAACGCATTAAACACATTTTAATGCGTTTCTATGGACTTTTTGAAATCGCTTAGCAATAAAATCGCTTAGCAGCGATTTTTGCTGCACCAATTAACATTGCTAAGCGAGGCACCACTGTATAGTAAACATTTGTGTGTCCTGCTCATTGTTACAAAATCTGATATCAGCTGTGTATACAGAATGTTTAGCATAATATAGAGTGAGAAATGCTTTACAGAGTGGAAGAAAAGTTCTAAAGGGACAATAAAGGGACAGCTCCTAGGGCAAATGGACATACCTCTTTTCATTTCACAATAGACGTTAAATGGCTTGGATCCCTTTGGCTTTATTGAATAAATGCCGCTAGATCTTTCACCTCTGTTGTAAATCCAGGTGCAATCAGTAGCATTGCCTGAAAGCAGTCAGAGTTTACCATTTGCAAATGCATTATTAAAAGCATAGATTTGGAAAATTCAGTGTAACCTTGCAGGTAAATACTGTATAGTAGTGTAGTGGATAGATTGACGGAGACCAGGGTTCGAATTCCGACTTGGCCATGGAAATTCATCTGGGGAATAGCACTGGTAAAAACACTCCTTAAATATTTCGCTAACCTTGAAAGTCCTGTTAGGGTCCCTATAAATCAGTTCCAACTTGACAGCATGAAACAACAACAAATAGTAATTAAGACAGATTTAGGTTTTTGCATGTGTGTGAGCTTAAGGTGTTGCATTTGACTAAGACTGAGTTGGTTTTATAGTTTTCTGATAGTTCCATTGAAGTGTACCCAATGTTGACTTTTCTGAGGAAGGAATTTTCAGGAGGAATGAAAGGAATAATCTCTGGTGGGATTTTTATAATGGTGATAGCAAATTATGGTGGTGATTGCTGAGACGGTTGAGGACAGCATGCTTTAAAGCTGCAGACTGTAGAGTAACAACAGTTGGCAAGTGGGACTGATGTGGAAAGTAAAATGCCATGCCTGTCTCAAGTTGAAAAGTTCTTATGTTGAATCTGCATTTCCCATAGGAATGCATTGAAAACCATTTAATCCGTATCTGCTCTTTTCCGTCCATAAAAACTACTGTAATAACAGTTGGCAAATGGGACTGGTGTGGAAAGTAAAATGCCGTGCCTACAGGGAAGAGGTAGTTGGAACCTTGAATTGGAGCACTTCATTTAGGAGATAAAGATATACATATTTTGCCACAGGTCCCATTTCTACTGTCTTGTTTTAGCAAAAACACCAACAAGAAAGGAAGAAAAGCCAGCAAGGCAGCTTAAAAAAAGGATTACTTTCTTGCTCTATAGGGGCAATTACCTGTATGATCCTGAAGTTTAGATGTTCTGTTAAGTTTGATATTCCTTGTTTCATCTTCCTTTGAGGGGAACAATATCTGTTTATCATCTTGAAAACCAGGGCTGCTTCGCTGAAAAGGGAGGAATTATTTATCTGAATTTTGTTAGTCAGCTGGATTGTCTGTCTGTTCAAGGATTTTGGAACACAAATATATGTGGAGAACACAGTATCAGAGGGGAGAATCAATAGAAGAAGGTGTCTACTGATAGAGAGATCTCTCAACTTTTCAGAAGAAGACTGGAGTTTTCACTGTCATGCAGTCCCACCCTGATGTGTCTATAGATATGTATAGTCATGTCCTCCTGCCCTGTGTGTAAACACAGAGAACTGTGTAGCAGATTTGTTCTGACCAGGGACTAGGAATTGATCACGTTAACAAATTAAACAAACCTTGCTTCTTTTAACCAACACAATGACAACCAATCCTTCCACTTTAGACTGGCTTTAAGGTGAAAGAAGTGTTGCCCCTTCTGTCTACTCCGGATTGACCATGGGAGGGGAAGATGATCACATTGCCCAGGTGAACACAATGCTTCTTCTGAATGCATTTAAGCTTGGAAAATTCATTTAACTGAAGTCAGTTGACAAAGAACTGAGTAAAGCATTTTATTCCTCCAGCCAAGTTCTATTTAATTCAATTGGGAAGTTGTTGGAAAAATTCTTTTCCCTGTGGTTTTAACATCCTTGGAAAATTTTCCATCTCCAGTAGGTATGTTATAAAGGAGATCAGTGGTACAAGGTAAAATGTACATTTAGAGCCATAGGAATTGGCATTTGTTATACCACACCGTTAGAAGATCACATTTAAAGTTAAGAACAGTAAGTTCAGAAACACTAAGAAGGATCAAACAAATGGCACATTAAAAAATGGTAAACTAAAGCAACACCAAAAACATTTTTAAAGCAGTAAGGCATAATAGTCCATTGAAATCCCCCCCTCCCCGGCAATAGTAAGGCATAATAGTCCATTGAAATCCCCACCCCCTGGCAATCACTGAGGGAAAGCTTGCCTGAAGAAAAAGGTCTTCGCCTGCTTACAGAAAGACAGCAAAAATACCAACCCTCTCTTGTGGGAAGGAGTTCCAGAGTCTGGGAACAGTATCAGAGAAGGCCCCCTCCTGTGTCCCCACCAAATGGATCTGTAAAGATGGCAGGCTTGAGAAAAAGGCCTCTTGATTATCTTATCACCTAAGCAGGCCCATAAAGTGAGATAAGATCATTGAGATAGCTTGGACTGAAGCAGTTTAAGGCTTTATAGGTTAGAAATGGCACTTTGAATTTGAAATGGGCTAGTATTAATACCTGGGTATTGTTGAGTTCAGCAGGGAGGGTCCAGTTTCTATCATGCTTTTAATTTCACTATAGATACTAATAATTTTAAAACTGCAGAGTTGGAAAGGGACCCTGTGAATCATTGGGTCGTGCCCCTGTCAAGGACACATAGTGGGGTAATCGAATTCCCAGCATTTGGCCTTTGCCACTGAGCAGTCCAGGAGTTTGATGACCGTGGTGAAGAAAGTTCTGATACATTGTCTAGGAGGTCACTTCCACTGTCCTCAGTTCTGCTTATCCACTGCTACTTTCCCCCTGGTTTGCTTTGTCTTTTAAGCTTACTTGCTTCTGTTAAAGCAATATCTTGTGTAAACTTCCCCATCCTATACAAAACTGCTCAGATCACATGTGTAGGCCCGCCTGCCATCTGGGATCTAATAAAAAGAAAAGGGGGAGAGGGTGCACTTGATGATGAATTCTCTGGAGCACTCTCCTGAGAAATGTTCCTGTGTCTTTATCATTAAGGTACCAGACCGCTATATTCTCCTGGGCTTTTGCTTGAATGATTTTATCATTTTTTGCTATTTTGCTGGTATCAGTTAGGATATTGCTTATTTTACTGGTTGTTCTGCTACCAGTTTCGAAAACAATTATTTTTCGCATTTGAAAGCTACCACTAGCACACTAGATTTATTCATTTCCTCGTGGCTACTGTATGCTAAAGCACAGAGCATGCTCAATTTTTTGTTAAGCCAAAACTATCATTAGAAAAGGAGCTTTGTACTATAGTTACATTTTGTCTAAATCCATAATGAATAAATAGAATGGGGGGGGGAGTTAACCTTGGTGGCCCTCCAGATGGTCTGGACTTCGACTCTCCAAAGCCTTAGCTAGCATGGTCAGTGGTAAAGGATTGTGGAAGTTGTAGTCCAAAACATGCAGGGGGAAGGTTCCCACACCTCTTTTAGAAATACAGTGGTGCCTTGACTTACGAACTTAATCCGTGTTAGAATGGCGGCCGTTAAGTCAAAATGTTCATAAGTCAAAGCACCATTACGCATAGGAATGCATTGAAAACCAATTAATCCATTCCGGCCGAAGGAAAAAAAAATACCAAAAAAATTAAAAAATAAAATAAAAATAAAACACTGCAAATTCCACGCCAGAACTGCAAAAAAACAAAAACAGAAACCAAACAAATCCAAAAATAAACATTGGAGCATGTCCCACGCTGGGACTGAAAAAAACAAACACAGAAACGTAAACCCCCCAGCCCAAACCTACCCTCCAAACCCCACCCAGAACAACGTTTATAAAAGGAAAAAGCACCTTACCTGTCCAAAGCCTCTGCGGAGGCTTCCTGGGCTTCCAAAGCACCGGCACCCCAGCCGCTTCTCCTTCCTCCTCCTGTGCTGCTGCTGCACACCCCTTGTCACGGACCCCCTCCGACTCGCGCACCCCGCCCAGGGCTTTCGGCGGCCCTTACTCCTGAGTAGACCCATGCTTTCTGTAGCCCTTACTCTTGAGTAGACCCGCACCCTCCGCGGCGCTTACTCCCGAGTAGGCCCGCACCAGGGATGGGCAGGGAGTGCACCGGCTTCCTGAGCCCGGCGGCGATCCGGTGCCGCCCCTGCCTCTCCTTCCTCCTCCCAGGTCGGCAGAAGTAAAAAAGTTCCCTGACCCCCTGCTCTAACCATTGGGGCGAAAGAGCTACAAAGAAGCATCCTTTTTGTCACCAACGGTTTGAATTTCCCGCTTTTCCCCCCTGCCTTTTTTTTCTGTTCGGAATTCAAAGCTCCAGCCGCAAGTCAAAGCAAATGTTTGCGGGCGGAGCTGTTTGTAAGTCAAATTGTTTGTAGGTCAGAGCATTCGTTAAGTCAAAGCACCACTGTAATTTATAATGACAGATGGTTGCTGAAGTTTTGGATTATGCCAGTACTCAGAACCTTGCTTTGTCTTACTTACTTTAAGGGATACAAGTTCTTCAGGCTGCTGAACTTCAAGCTGCATCTGAAACAGTTTAATTAATTTTTCTTCCAGCCTCCCTACTTGGTCTTGAAGTTGAATCTTCTCCTGTGAAAGGACTTCTATTTTGGAATTAAGTTCCAGGGAGGCATTCCTTATCTCTTCGTTATTAGCTTGTAATTTCGAAGTTATTTTTTTAAGCTGTTCCTCTTCTTCCTTGATTTCATTGGTTTGCTGAGAGATTTCATAGAAAGATCGATCAAAAATGTTAAGCTTCTGGAAGATGTCATCCATCTGGCCCTTGGTCTTGATAGCAAAGTCTTTAAGGCCATGCCCGAGATGAAGTAGTCCATTGGCTAGTAATTGCACATCATCTAACATAGCAAACCTTGACTTGGGCTCTGGAGGTATGGAGTCATCTCCATCTGTTCTTACTGAAATAACTGGAGAAATCAATAAGAGTGAAACTAGAACTATTTTCATTTTCCCCCTGTCCGTACTATTTTAATAGCCTTCGGAATGTCCCTAACTATTTCCCATTAGCCTTTCTCTGTGAACATTCTAGTAGGACTTAGTCTGCCTATGAACTTCTCAGTCTTTAAAAGTCACTTTGGCGTAGTTGATCATTAAACTTGAATGGATGTAACCTGTGTCCTCTTTGGGCTCTTGTCTATCATGTTAGATCAGCCTGTCTGCCAAACATTTTGTGGTTAAGAGTAAATCGTCCTGCAATAGGCCATGCTTCTTGATATTAGGTCATTTAAAAAATTCTGTTATGAACTAGCTATTCAGATGTCCAGTCTTCCCGTTATTACCTGGAACTGAGATTCTGCACTTGACTTTTCCATACATAGCACAGAATACATACACTGTAAGGTGCAGGGCAGTATAGTTAGGTATAATACAGTGATTTTATCCATCAGAATTTTTTTGGAAGGGTGGGTGTGCACATTTTTTGTTTTGCTTTTGTTTTCATGAAAGAGCAATTGTGCCAATGGGTTATTTTATTTTATTTTATTTTTGCATTGGGGAGTCAATTCTGCTAATCTGCTTTGGCAGGGGAGCTTCTCAGAGCATCACCAGTTTCCTTTCTGTAAAACCCAGAGGGGAGAGAGAGCAGTGCTGTCATCAGTAAATGTTTATTACTGTTTATTCTTTGAGCTAAGACCTTCGTAGCTCTTGTCACACTGACTGTGGGTTTCTGTGAGTTGTGGTAGCAAAACATAATTTTGCACATTTGTGGTTCAGCATTTCTCTCCACTCAGTTTCTGCACCCCTTTCCTTACCAGAGAGCAAAATCTTTTTGGTTCTCTCAACAATTTGAGAAATTATGTCTAATGTGACTGAGACCTTGTCACTAGGAAGCATTAAACCTCCCATCAAGTGACAGGAAGTAGTACCTCAGGCTACAAGCAGACTTTAATTAATGGTTGCTGTGGGTTTTTTGGGTTCTTTAATTAACTTTAATTAACTTTAAAGACACAGTAGACTGTTTTAAAAACAAAACAAACCTCAAGGTGTGCACATCTTAGGGTCCACTTAATATTCATGCTGTGTTTTATGTCTCAAAGCTGTGATAGAAATAAGTGTAATTTGTATGGGGAGAGAGAGCAGGTAGCGACAGAGAACCAGACTCCTGTCTGGGGTATATATCTCTGTTTATAGTACCCATCTGTGTCTATATAATGTGTGAGATGGATAAATGGACATTTCCATACAGGAGGTTGACTTCCATTTATCATCCAGCACTTTAACACACCCTGCTATCAAAATGCCCAGAAAAAATAATGCCACCAAAGGAAAAACCTAAAGCCACTTACTCATTTATTTCTTTAAAAAAAAAAAAAAGGCCTGTGCCCCAATGAGCCCCTAGAAGAATTCTGCTCTTAATTCAAGAATCATGCTGCTTGGCTTTGCAAATACATTTAAATCTCTCTCTTAAGTTACTAATAATATCTAATGAAAGTTTTATGAGCAAAGTACATTTTAAGATAAATTTTCATATCCCTTTTTATTGGAAAAAGCACATTGAGGAGGAAATCTATTCATGCCAGAATGAAGTAATTTAGGAGAGCTACAAAAGAAAAAGAGGAAATCCTTTAGCAGCTGCATATAGGAATAATAAAGAGAACATTGATTAAGCAAGGTGACCAAGGGGGATGAAATTCTAGGTTTAATTCAGCATGAAGGTCTTCATTTGAAGCAGAAGGAATTGCCTATCCTGTAACCTTAGCTTACTGCATGGCATGATGACAAAAATATAATGTGGTTCCATTGTCCTCCACTCAGTATAATCCAAGGACAATATGAAGGTATGGAATCTAAAGGTTTCCATGTCTGATGGAGTGGAAGGTGCCATCCTTTCTCCAAAGATGGGGCTCTCTGGATCCAATCCATTGTGGATCAAGGCTGTGGTGAGGCAGCAAGGCTATAGGTTGCATTTCGAGAATTGTTGCCTATTACACAGACATGATGCACACGGAAACATTGCTGGAGTAAATATTTCAGAAATAGACAGGGATTTTTTAAAAAAATGTTTAAAGTTTTGCTTGGAAGTTTGTGAAAAGCCAAATGTGGAAACCTTGACTCATTATTTCGAAATGTGTATAGTTATATTGAGAAACAGTGCATGCTGGTGCTGGGTCTCCAGTTTGCTTCACTGCTCCAAACATCAAGAGTATTCATATGCAGGCAGTGACCATTGCCCCATAAAGACATATGTCTCCTGTCTTTGTACATGGTGTGTAATAGAAAGTGACTGATAAAATAAAAAAACTAGTATCTGGGGTGTGTGTGTGTAGGTATGTAATAAGAGTTCTCCAGTGGTTGTTTTTCATGTATGTATAGATATATGTGTATGTATGTGTATCAAGTGAAGACAAGCAAAAGAGGACATAAAATTTAACTCAAGACACTGTAGTGCAGCAACTCTGTTTTTACTTGGAAATAAGTCCCACTTTATTTACTGCTACTTATGTCGTAATAGAAAGTGACTGATAAAATAAAAAACTAGTATCGGGGGGAGGGGGGGAGGTATGTAATAAGAGTTTTCCAGTGGTTGTTTTTCATGTATGTATATATGTATGTGTACGTATGTGTATCAAGCGAAGACAAGCAAAAGAGGACATAAAATGTAACTCAAGACACTGTAGTGCAGCAATTCTGTTTTTACTTGGAAATAAGTCCCACTTTATTTAGTGCTAGGAAGTGTGTTTAGGAACACAGCCAACGGTCATACCTGATTGCTAGAGTGTACGCATAGTGCTCTGCCACATTGCTCCATAGTAAATATGTTTATGATTGTTACCCAAGGGGTATGCAGATACAGTGGTGCCTCACTTGACAAGGATAATTCGTTCCAGCAAAATCGCTGTAGAACGAAATCGTCGTCAAGCAAAAGTTAAAAAACCCATTGAAAACCAGTTCAATGCGTTCCAGTGGGCAAAATACCTCAGTGTCCAGCGAAGATCCTCCATAGGGCGGCCATTTTCCGGTGCCTGTAAAGCGAAAAAGCCTTCCTAAACACAGTGGGGAGCCATTTTGAAAGCGGGTGGCCATTTTGAAACCTGAACGATCAGCTGTTTTGATTGTCGTAAAGCGAAAAATCGGTTCCCAAAGGAGGGAACCGATCATCGTCAATCGATTTTGTCCTATTAAAAACTCATTTTGTGATCACTATAGCGATCGCAAAATACTCATCGTTAAGCGATTTCCTCGTCTAACGAGGTAATCGTCAAGCGGGGCACCACTGTATATCCCCCTTAGGTGTGCATATGTTGTCATGTAATATTTTCTATTCTTCATTTATTCTGCAGAAATCTACTACATGTCTATCCTCAAAGCCTCAACTTTGCCAACCGTCAAGGTTCTGCTCGGAACATCACTGTAAAAGTCCAGTTTATGTTTGGAGAAGATCCAAGTAATGCAATGCCGGTATGGATGACATATCTCTTTTGTTCCTCCTTGGTCTGGGTGCTGCGAGGGTCCAAATGTTTCTCACAAAAATAGCAACTGGTTTTTTTTTAAGGCAAAGGTGGGTCTATGTATGGTTTCTCCCAATGCCGGTATGGATGACATATCTCTTTTGTTCCTCCTTGGTCTGGGTGCTGCGAGGGTCCAAATGTTTCTCACAAAAATAGCAACTGGTTTTTTTTTAAGGCAAAGGTGGGTCTATGTATGGTTCCCCCCCTTCAATCTTCCATTTAAACTGCATAATAGTTATGCAGAGTACACTGCATAAATAGAAGCCCTGATGTTCTGTATGTCTGAACAGCTTGATACAGTTCTTAGCTTAATTTCCAGTGAGTACAGGATGCTTTTTTTTCAAAATGTCTCATTTTGGTTCTTGTTTCAGGTAATCTTTGGTAAATCAAGCTGTGCTGAGTTTTCGAAAGAGGCGTACACAGCTGTTGTTTATCATAACAGGTAAAAAGCAAAAGGTGCATTAAAATCAACTGCTTAGTTACATGTATGTGACGAATCTTTGGTAAATCAAGCTGTGCTGAGTTTTCGAAAGAGGCGTACACAGCTGTTGTTTATCATAACAGGTAAAAAGCAAAAGGTGCATTAAAATCAACTGCTTAGTCTTCATGTGGTACATGTATGTGACACTATGGAATTAGGAGTAAGGTAACGGTGGCGGTCTCTGCTCAGCCACTATAGTCTGTTGAGGTGTCAGGATCGCAAAACTGCAGTATATGAATTGGACAGACTGTACTTTTCAATGATCACACTGTATCTGATACAGAATTTGGGATTTGTCATGTCTGCTTGTTTACCAGTTTTTAGGAATGATGTATCAAAGCACATGGACACTGTAGTGGACTTTATGTGGCATGATTTTGGTAGTGCTGTGATGAAGCATGCACATACACAAAATGGAATTTTTCTTTTGAAACAAGGTACATAAGAAAAATGCAGCTGGTCTGAAAATAGAACTAGACTTTCACAAAAGCATATTGTGTTTTTATATACTACCCCATAGTGCTTAAAGCACTCTCTGGACAGTTTACATTTTTAAAAACTTATGTTTGGTACACATTGCCCCCCCCCCCTTGAGCTGGGTACTCAGTTTAATGACCCCAGAAGGATGGGGTCAACTTTGAGATGGTTATCTGAATACAGTGGGATTGAATGCAGGTTGTGAGCAGAGTTTTGACTGCAGTTTAACAACTATGCCATGAGGTTTCTAGGCATCTGATTCTGCTTTTTAAAAGCCAGCGAGCCACATATGTTTTAGTTTCATGGGATAATGCAAGGTTTTTGGGTTCTGTGTGAAAGGGGAAGAAACATAATAAATTTACTCCTCTCTTCCTCAGAAGGCAAGTTAAACCCTTTCTGTCTCTTTCATATCCTGTTTACCAGGACAACACTTCATGTTTTGATTTTTGTTTTTACAATTTTATATTTTTATTGATTGATTCAAAATAATCAATTCCCGCCTTTCTCCTTAAAAGGGCCCAAAGTGACTTACATCATTAAAATAGTATTTAAAAGCTAAAAACGATAAGTATACAAATATTTTAAAAGAATTAAATGGATATTATATTAAAAATGGTAAATAAAGTCAAGATTGAAAGTCATTTAAAACAACAGAGCACAACAATCCGTTTTTTTAAAAACCTTCTCAAAATGCAAGTCATTAAGGAAAAGCCTGCTTGAAGAGAAAGGTCTTTGCTTGCCTGCAGAAGGACAGCAAAGATGGGACCAACTTAGTTTCTCGTGGGAGGGAGTTCCAGAGTCTGGGAGCAGCGACAGAGAAGGCCCTCTCCTGTGTCCCCACCAAACGCACCTGTGAGGGAAATTAACTGAGAGAAAGGCCTTCCATGATTATCATAAAGGGAGATGTGGTCTTTTAGATAGCTTGGACCAAAGCTGTTTAGGGCTTTATAGGTTTAGGGCTTTATAGCAGCGGTCCCCAAATTTTTGGGGACCTCAGACCAGCTGAGCCTCTGAGGAAGGTGGGGCACCGCTCACGCAGGCGCACGTGCGCTCTCGGGCACATGTGTCAAGCAGTGGGGGAGCACCTGCCTGTGAGTGCCCCCCATCCCTTCGTACATGTACAGGAGTGCCTGCACGCCCACGCAGGTGCTCAGGCACATGCACGAAGGCATGGGGGAGCGCTTACGCTGGCACTGGCACATGCGCATGTGCGCAAAGCAGCTGTGGGGAGGGGAGTGTGTGCGGGGTGGGAGGTCTGTCTCCGGAGCCTAGTCCTGCTCAGGCCACGGACTGGGGGTTGATGACCTCTGCTTTATAGGATAAGACTGACACTTTGAATTGTGCCTGGAAACGGATCAGCAGTGGAGCTGCTGTTACAAGGGGCTATATGTAACCAGCCCCAGTTAGCAATCTAGCTGTGGCATTTTGGATCCACTGGAGTTTCTGGACATTTTCCATAGGCAGACCCAGGCAGAGTATGTTACAGTAATCTGGCCGAGATGTAACTAAGGCATACGTGTCACCATGGCCAGATCAGACTTCTCCAGGAGCTGGCGCACTAGTTTTAACTGTTCAAAGGCACACTTGGCCACTGCTGAAACCTGGGCATCCAGGCTCCAAGATTGATTGATTGATTGATTGATTGATTGATTGATTGATTGATTGCTACTCGTTGATTGATTGATTGATTAATTGATTGATACTCACAGTTGACATTTGGCAACTGGAGGATGATAGAGCCAGGGAATTGGACCAGGGAGGCCACATGTGGCTCATTGGCAGCTTGTCACTTGTGCATAAGGAAGATAACATGCTAATATGCAGAATTCAGTATACTTATCTGAATAAGGATATGATGTTGCATGTATAATATGATTTAAAGAATCAAAAAATGTAGGGTTGCTGACTATGAACTATTGGATTCCAGAGTAAAAGAGGCCAGACTTAATGTGATCAAAATGTCTGCATTGAGATAGGTGCTTAACTTGTGTTATCTTAAATGTAGTAGCCAAAGTCTTGTTGTGGAGTTGCCCAGAAGACATAATTTTTAACATCGGATTGCCATCAATTAAGCAATCTCCATGGGCACTATCTCTTACATATGGAGTCACACTGAGATTTCTAAACTTAGAGCAATTTGCTGCTAGAAGTTGTGCCTTTTGCCTAACTGTGTAGTGGGATTTGCAACAATTGCTTGTTGTGATGATCTAGTTAGAACTGAAATGATTTTATATTTCGGAAGAGCTCTGTGGTGCATCTTATTTCAACTTGTAAAAATGGATCATAATTAACATTACGTGATCCCATGTTCAGCTGAAAAAAAGACCTTGTATTTCAGGGTCTTGACTTTGACTTAATTGATTTGAGAGGGGAGGGTTTTTTGGTCTGTTTTCTTTTGGGGGTTTTATTTGTTTACATTTGGTTTTTCCCCTGAAACTGTTTCTGTAAGTCTTGATCTTCATTTGTTATAGGAATTAGCCCAGTGCAAGGACAAATTAGTTTAAGACTGATGCCAAAGTACCCAAATCCTATTAAGGTTTAAAGTGTCCAAATCCCATTTAAAATGTCATTTGGCCTTTTCAGAGTTTTGTTGAACTCTTGACTTTGAATCTTACACAGCTTTGGGGCTGTGGTATTCCACGTATTCTGGCAAACTGCTAAATTCTGGCTATATTTGGGAGCCATGGTTTTGCCAACCAGGCAAAGTAGGACGCAGCCTACTGCGGGACAATATATTACTCTCAAGGTTCCCTCTAAACTGCACACCTGTGTGAGCGTGCAACGCTGCTCCTGCCTCCACATAATGTTCCTCCTTCTCTGCACACCCACAAGTGTTCCCAGCCCCTTTGGTTCCAGTCGTAGTGGAACCCCGTGCAGGGGGGGGGAGGAGTCTCACACACAAAGGTTGGAGCCCTGAAAATTAGAGGGAACATTAATTGCTGCCCTTCCTAGAATGTGAAGAAAGTTGGAGATAATCCATTTTGGCAGAGGTACCAGTGTGTTTTCTGGTGCTTCTGCCAAATGCATTATTCATCACAAACTATTTCCAGACTTCCTCTTGAGCTTGCAGTTGTGCTCTGTATTGGAGGTGCTCCAGATATTTCTCATGTGTCATGTGAAATGGACAAACCAGCTGTCCTCTGGGGTGTGGAGCTGGACAGGTGGGCAAAAAATTATCTACACATCTGTGTTGTTCTCTGAGTGGACTTGAACCCCCTCTAAGGTGGGCATAAATTTACGTGTTTGCACATTTGTTTTTATTTTCATGTCTTTAAGGTGCCTTGGCTGTTTAGCACTCAAGAGAATGTTTAGCCAGGATACATTAAAAGGATAGTGTTTCTGGTATGAAGCATGGCGGATTAAGCTCTCGTCTGCACTGTAGTCAAGATGTTTGCACCTTTGTGGATTTGCTGCTTGCTTTATTGATTGATTTATTGATTGGTTGTGTTTTGTTGATTACACATGACTTTTTAAAATGTCCTATGGCCTATGATGGAAAATAGTAGACTTGAGATCCTTTGAAGATAAGAATTGAAGCCATCCTTCAGCCTACAAAACTTGTACTCAGATACCAAACTAATAAAACAACATAGCTCAGGTTTACAATATGCAGCTACAAGAGACACAGACAACTTCCTTTTGCCCTAGAATCTCTTATAGCAACAAGTGGGGACTACTCACCTGGAGAGATGTCCTTGTTACTGTCCCTAATCAAACATAAAAGAAAAACAGTTACTCAAAGGCAAGAAAGCTATTGAATAGGACTGAAGTGTAACTTGCAGCCAGAAAACTGTTGCATGGAATTGAGCTATGCTTTGTATCCCTGAGAGCTGTGGCACTTGGACTTCTTTCTGTGTATAAAACCTAGTTATGCTTTGCATATATACAGTGGTGCCTCGACTTATGAACGCCCCTACTTACGACCATTTTGAGGTTTCAGCTCCGGCCGTAAAATTTGGCTTCTACTTGCGACCGGAGCTTCCACTTACAAACAGAAAAAGGCAGGGAAAAATTGCCGGGAAATTGGAATTTCTAACTGTAGGTGGTGATGAGGCTGCTTCTTTGTAGCTCTTCCGCCCCAGCAGTTAGAGAGCGTGCATCAGAGGAGAATTGGGATTGCCTTGCTTCTGCTTCTGAGTGAGCATGTGTGTGTTTGCAGGGAGACTTTGGGCTGCCTGGTAAGGTAAGGTGCTGTTTTCTGTTTTGGGTGTTTTCGCAGCGTGGTTTTGGGCTGGGGGGTTATGTTTCTGTGCTGTGATGGGTCTTGGGGAGTTTGGTTAGTCTTTTGGTTCCTCTCTGTGATGGGTCTTGGGGAGTTTGGTTAGTTTTTTGGTTCCTCTCCCATTTCCAATGGGTCTTGGGGGGTTTGGTTGCTTTTTGGGTTTTCCTCCCATTTCTGATGGGTCTTGGGGGGTTTGTTTATTTGTTGGCTCTCGCCGCCATTTCCAATGGTTCTTGTGGGATTTAGTTGCTTTTTTGGGGATTTTCCCCACTTTTTGGGTTTTCCTCCCATTTCCAATGGTTCTTGTGGGATTTGGTTGCTTTTTTGGGGATTTCCCCCATTTACAATGGGTCTTGGGGGTTGTTTGTTTTTTGGCTTCCCCCCATTTCCGATGGGTCTTGAGGGTTTGGTTGCTTTTTGGGAGTGCTTCCCCATTTCCAATGGGTCTTGAGGAGTTGTTTGTTTTTTGGCTTCCCCTCCATTTCCGATGGATCTTGGGGGATTTGGTTGCTTTTGGGGGGATTTTCCCCCCATTCCCAATGGGTCTTGAGGGGTTTGTTTTTTGTTCCCCCCATTTCCAATGGGTCTTGGGGAGTTTGGTTGCTTTTTGGTGTTTTTTTCCCCATTTCTGATGGGTCCTGCATGTTTCCTTTGCTTTTCCCTTTGTTTTCTTTGCATTTCTGACCTGCCCCCTTTGTTCTCTGTGCATTTCCAATCTGCTCTGTTTTTTTCTCTGTATTTCCAATGGGTCTTGCGTGCTTGGTTGCTTTTCTTTTCTTTTCCCCCTTCGTCCGGAAGAGATTAATTGTGTTTCCAGTGAGTCTTGCAGTGATTTTTTTGTGATTTTTTTTTCTTCGGCCAGATGGATTAATTGCATTCCAATGCATTCCTATGGGAAATGGTGCTTCGACTTACAGCCATTTCGAGTTACATCCATCTTCTGGAACAGATTATGGTCGTAAGTCAAGGCACCACTGTAGTAGGAAATGTCCACATCAGTAAGTTTTCCAGGAGGGAGTTGTGTTAGTCTGTTTCAGCAATTATAATGAAAAAGAAAGAAAAGAATCATAGTACTTTTAAGAGTAAAATATTTATTTCACTGTCGATTTTCAGGGGTATAGCCCCTTTCTTCATTCATTGGCTAGCTTCCTCCTCTCTGCTTTTAGCTTTGCCTCTTGACCTTAGTCTCACCTACTGCCAGAATGTGGCCCCAGCAGCCTTCCCAGATTGGAATTCAATTGAGACCAAACAGAAGAAGCTTCTTTGCTGTCTCTTGTGGTATCATATATGAGGGCATAAAAATATTATATATCCCCTGTGTCTGTTTTTTCTTGTTATATTACACAAGCCGAATATCTAATTTGGATTTCCAGGTGTCAGCACAGAATTTCAGGGTGCTGTGGATTTTCACAGTCCTTCCACCTGAGAAGAAGCTAGCTCCTTAGAGAAGCCTCAGAATAAAATGACAATAAAGGAATAAATAATGACAAGTAATATGAAACATGAAAACATGGTGTTGTCGAGTTCATCTGAAGGTCTTGTAGGTCTCTATTTCAGTGAGGCAAGCAGAGACAGAGATATTGACAAAGATGCAGAGGACGCTGGGAAAGAGTACATTATTCATTCCTTGAAGACTTCTGTTGCAGTTTTTAAAAATTTTCTGCACTGAGACATTTGTCTTTAGCAAATATAGAATAATGACAGAGCTCTGGAAAAACAGCAAACTCAACAGAGTTATCTTCACTGGGCAAGTTTTATATTTATAAAGAAAGCCGTTTTTATCTCAAAACAGGTCTCCCGATTTTCATGAAGAGATTAAGATCAAACTCCCTGCAACGTTAACGGACCATCACCACCTGCTTTTTACATTTTATCATGTCAGTTGCCAACAGAAGCAAAACACTCCTCTTGAGACTCCTGTCGGATACACGGTAAAAACTGACAGCTTTCAAGCCTTTGTCCTTTCGTTGTCCCATCTGCTGACTCAGTTTTGACCTGCGGGAAAGAGGGGTGGGGAGGCAGTGATCAATTGATTTTTCTTGGGTTTCTTTCACTTCAGTGTGCCAGTCATTTTTGTAGGAACCGTTGGACTAATGCTACAAGTTGCATCAAATGCAACTCTTTGATACCTTTGGACTGTTAGTATTATGTGACAGTATTGAAATTAGTCAGGCATTATAGTACTTTATAAATGGAAATTATATTATTCTTATCTGTTGTCATCCCCAACCAAGCTGGCTGCTTCTTGGAGGCAGGTACAGCTGATATCAGGGAAAGGCCGCACGGCCACATGGTCATAGGAACAGGTGATACCTTTAATCAGTCATTCACAATATAAAACGATTTTCTTTCCTGCATTTGCATCACACAGATATAGTAACTGATACTTTTCCAAAGATTCTGTCCACATCCTTGGGCTGTACAAAAGGAAAAGCACTTGTGTTGCTGGACAAACTGCATCCTCCAGAGCTGGATCAACTGTACTATCCTAAGTCAAAGTGCATCAGGGCAATTTTATCCATAGAGCATTGTGCAGATTGGCAACAGGCCAAATCTATGTAATACGTACTAAAATGAACCTTTCGGTTTCAACATTAGCTTGCAGCTTGCTTCCATTTTCATGGTTTCCCATTTTTGGTGCTTGGTGACCTCTCTGTCTCAAAAAGAAAGAAAGACAGACAGGCAGGCAGACACATATCTGGTTGTGATTTGGTAGAGGTGTGGGGACTGGAGTGCCAAGCCATGACTCGGGACGTACAGATTCTAGTTTCCACTAAGCCATAAAACTCACTAGGTGACTTTGGGTCATTTATTTTTAGGTTCAGTGTGTTCATACAGGTTGGTCAGGGGGAGGGAAGTCTTGTACACTGTGTTGAGCTAATTGCAGAAAAGGTGGCATATAAATATAGTGGACACACAAACAAAGCGTGGGGGACTGATCAACAAATATTCTGCCCATGTTCTTTGACATAAGTGCTGAGTCCCAGTCCTACAGCTCCAGTTTTTCTTTTTCTGTTTTTAAGCATGGGATAAATTGGAGAGGTCTTGGGTAGCTGATGTGTACAAATGAATTATTCCTCCTTCTCTTCCCATGTTAGTGGATACCAATGCTCCAGAATGGACGATTGAAGACTGGTCAGTTCTGCCTCCCTGTTTCCCTGGAAAAGCCACCACAGGCTTATTCAGTGCTCTCACCAGAGGTCAGTTATTCCTTATATTAATGTGACTCAGCAAGACAATTTAAGCTGTTGATGTCTGGAATACCCTAGCTGCATTTTTTTTGGGTAGCAGACATTGAAATATGTTCTTATTTTCTACAAGCAATGTTGACTGGAATGACGTTTTTGGCCGAAAGTACAACTACTTTCTGTGTTGTTACTGTTATAAGACTCAAAACTGATTTTATTATTTATTACCTTTTTATCAGGTGCCCCTGCCAGGAATGAAATGGGTAGATAACCATAAGGGAGTTTTCAATGTAGAAATAGTTGCTGTGTCAACCGTTCATACACAGGTATGTCTTCGTAATGGTCCCTCTAATATGGAAGAGGCAACCATGACAATGGGCGATTATGACATTTTATCTACACCCTGTTGATCAGTGGTGGGCAGCTCCATTGAATCTGGGGGTGGGTGGGGGTGGCAAGCCACTCTCCAGCATTTGCTGCAAGTAGGAGATACTTGTTTTGAATAATATCTTCCAGTTTGCTGCTGATATTCATCAGTGCACACTGCCACTGGATTTTGCACATTTTGGGGGAAGGAGGGGGATTTTAAAAAATGGCTTTCAGGTATGATATGCATCCTACAGGCCATTAGTTGCCCACCCTAATATTAATATATGCATGTGTGTATTTTGTTTTATTCTTTAATTCAAGGATATTTTACATTACTGAATACAGATTTTTTTTAAAAAAAACAACAACCCATATATTATTTCATTATTTGAATATGCAGGACCCTTATCTTGACAAGTTCTTCGCTCTTGTGCATGCACTGGATGAACATATGTTCCCTGTGCGGATAGGTGACATGAGGATAATGGAAAACAACTTGGAAAATGAATTAAAAGGCAGCATTTCAGCTTTGAATTCATCTCAGCTGGAGCCTGTGGTGCGATTTCTCCATCTCCTGCTTGACAAACTGATCCTTTTGGTTGTGAGACCTCCTATTATTGCAGGCCAAATAGGTAATTTTATCTAGGTTTGGGTTTTTTGAATTCTAAATGGACCTTCATATCAGCCTTCTGTCATTCAGTTACATTTTAGAATGTCAAAATTATGTTCAGATTGTGTACCTTTTCATTATTCATGAATGTCTTCATTTGGAGATCACAGTAGATTTGAAACCCCTGCTCAAATTCCTAGAAATGCAAATCATTCAAGCAATTTACTGTATTTGCTGAAAATCAGATTTCACAGATTTGAGCCATTTTATAGATAATATTATTTCATAGATTTTTGTCTTTTTAAGCAACTGTATTATCTATCTTTGGAATTAGCTCCTTTTATAATGAGGTTCTCAATATTTATAATAGCTTGATGGTAAACTGCTTTGTTTCTTTTTAGTCAATCTTGGTCAAGCATCATTTGAAGCCATGGCTTCCATTGTAAACAGACTGCACAAAAACTTAGATGGGAACCAAGACCAGCATGGCAGAAATAATCTTCTTACTTCATATATTTATTATGTCTTTCGCTTACCGAATACCTCTTCCAATTCACCATCACCTGGTATGTTATGCTTTTAAAATGGAAAGACTGGGATTGTAGGGGTGAATTGAATTGTAATTCATCGAGGCTCAGCCCCTGAGCTTGGTTTTAGCCACAGAACATGTAAGACAGTTTATGAGAAGGTTGCACATGACCATGGTTTAGGTGCTATGCTGATTTTCCCTTCCTCCACCAGTTCCTCATGTGATGCAGACCTCCTATAGGGTCTCTCTATGTACAGGAGTAGACTTTCATGATATACGTAGAGGGGCCTCCAGTAGAAAGGGCATGATAATCTGATTCTCACTTGTGATTTATTGAATCCAACATCATATGAATGTGGCCTTTCCTTCACTGCTGAGTTAAGTCCAGCTGGAGTTTCAGTAGCTGTTCTTATAAAAATTAACTATTAAATGGAAGTGCTTCCTCTCAGAGACCAACATGTGATTACTTACAGAGTTTGATAGTGAAAACGAGGATCTGCCAGTTGTCACAGAGGGCAATGTAGCAATGATTAGTGTTCAGCATGTAAGTAGTGATATTACCGGTGTAGGTTACATATATTGGCTGAAATCCTGTTGCTGGTTGCAGGGATCATAAAACAGGGGGGTGGAAAGTCTGTGCGTCTTATGGAGCGAAGAAAACAGATTATATTTTCCTGTTTTCTTCTCCTAAAAAATTGGTGCGTCTTATGGAAAGGTGCATCTTATGGAGCGAAAAATACGGTAAGTAGTGATATTACCGGTGTAGGTTACATATATTGGCTGAAATCCTGTTGCTGATTGCAGGGATCACATAATCCCCCTGTTACAGCAGTTCCGCTGGCTGACAATCTGTTTCCAGGCAGAAATTGAAATGCTGGTTTTGACCTATAAAGCCCTAAATGGCTTGGGTTCAAGCTGTCTCAAAGACCACATCTCCCTTTATTAACCTGCCTGGTTTTGAAGATCAACAGAGAGGCCTTTCTCTCAGGCCTACTACCCTCAAAGGGGCATTTTGGTGGGGACATGGGAGGCCAGGCTGGGCCCCAACTTTGTTGTCCTTTTGCAGGCAGGCAAAAGCATTTGTCTTTGTGACTGGCTAAGTGGGTTGTTGTTGTTTAAATAGGATTGTTCATACTTTTGTTGCTTTTCAATGTGTTTTATTGCATTTTTATTTACTATTTCCAATATTATATTTGTATAATTCTTTTTTAAAATATTGTAATTTTTTAAAGATTTTAAATATTGTATATTTTTTAATATTGTAAGCTGCCTTGAATCCTTTTTAGGTAAAAGAAAGGATAGAAATATTTAAAATAAAATAAATAAACAGTCCCAATGTGAATCATGTGACTGATCGCACAACTGTGATGTGAATCATGCTATCCTGAACCCCACAGCCACAAACTATATACAGTGGTGCCCCGCATAGCAATGTTAATCCGTTCCGGATTAACCCTCGCTATGGGAAACATCGCTCAACGAACCGAAAAAACCCACTGAAACGCATTAAACTTGATTTAATGTGTTCCAGTGGGCCCCGAAACTCACCGTTGAGCGATGCTTCCCTATGGCCGGCAGCCATTTTCGCGCCCTCCCCTTGCTTAGTGAGGGCGCGAAAACGCTGCGCGCAGCCATTTCGGGGCTTCCGGTGGCCATTTTGGAGCCGCCGAACAGCTGATCCGCGGGGCGCAAAGCGAAGGCCGGTAACCGAACTGCTTACCGACCTTCGCTATGCGATTTTCGGCCATAGAGGCCATCGCTTTGCGATCGCATTAGCGATTGCGAAAATGTCCTCGCTGTGTGGATTCGTCGTTCTACGGTGTGCTGGCTAAGCGAGGCACCACTGTAATCAGTTGTAGCCATGATGGTTGTGCAGTACTGGTTACCGGGGCATAAGGCCTGGCAGGCTTCCACAGACATAACTTTAAGTCATTCCAGTTTCAACAGGATTTCAGCCTGTACACTAAGTATTGATTTATATCAACTGCTTTATTCTTTTAGGTCCTGGTGGTTTGGGAGGATCAGTTCATTATGCGACCATGGCTCGTTCAGCTGTCAGACCAGCAAGCTTAAATTTAAATCGCTCCAGGAGTCTTAGTAACAGCAACCCAGATATATCTGGGACACCAACCTCACCTGATGATGAAGTACGGTCAATCATTGGGAGTAAGGTAAGGTTATGCTTAATTGTGACTAATAGCATAATTCTCATTTTAATTAATAAGAACTAAATAAGGCTCTCCATTGAGCTTCAAGTTGTACTGTGCCCTACAAATAGGCACAGCAGTCTACTACGTGCCACAATGTTCTTATTGGTATGAGAGCAGAGGACTTGAGGGGGATCCTTGCTTGTAAGCACACTTCATTTCTAGGTGCCCACCAACTCAATGACAATGTAGACAAAAGAGGAAGCTATTTAAATCCGACCTTTAATTCCTTCTTCCAGCCCCAAATTATTTTATGAGTCACTTTAAAACCATTTTACATCCAGTTATACGAAAAATCCAAGGAAAACACTACTTTTAAGTCATCAAATTGTTTGTATAATAGGGCAAGATGGACGGACCAAGGTATTTAATAATTATTGATTTAAAAAAACTCTAGAAATGGTCAGATGTTCTTTTTAACGTTTAAAGCTTTGATTAGGAGAGGTAGGAATACTTAAGTATCCACTTGATAGTCTTGCTTAATTAAACCGCTTTGACCTTTTTGTGAAACGCCTTAGGGGGTGACATGTGCATGGAATTTACCTAGGATATGGAACATTTTATGTGAACAACCTGACCAGAGTAATTTGGCAATAAAAATGGATAGGAGCTTTCTTACAAAAATATATTTTGCTTTTTAATAAGCAGGAAAGGGTAATGTTACTGCACAGCATAGCTACTGTAAAATGTTGACTATACCCATGTAGTGGCAATGTTCAATTTCAGATTAAGGTATAATTATCTCAGCTACCAAAAGTAGATTCTGAGACTCTTTGGTTTACCACTGAAGTCCATTTCTGTTCGAGAAAAAAAAAGGGTGGATTGAGTGAGTGGAAGTCTCAGTAGATCTTATAGTTTCCTTTCAGCCTCCCACACTTTGGCAGCCCATTTGCCCAAAAATCTTGGTCAGATCCTACCAAGTAGGGTGAACTACTGAATGAAACCTATAAAGGAAAGAAGGAATTGGCCCCAGTTTGGTGGAGGCAGTTCTTTTAGCAATATATAAATGGTGTCATTGTCTCCATGGCATGTTTATAAAAGATGTGGTACAGAACACCAATCAAACAGCATCTGCAAAGTGACTCTTGATGAATTTGAACTTTGAAGACTGACTCTGCTTTTCCGTTGCTGAAGTTTATTTTACTATCATTTTCTCAACTCCTACAAGTGTATTCACTTTTCCTTTGTGTTTATACATTTCCCTTTGAAAGCCTGGGCCATTTATTTGTTATTTAACAAGCAGTGTGTGCTTCAGAGCCCTTTGGTTCAACACTAAAATGCCAAGAGAGGAATGTAGTTATTTATGGGGGCATAGGCGTCCATGGGAAATTGAAAATAAAATGACAGTTTGGGTGCATCTCTGTGGAGATATGAAGTGGTTTCTGCTCTTGGGCAGAAGATTACCAGCAATGTGTGTGAGCCTTTTATTACAGTGAAGTGGTGATTAAGAACATAAGAAGACACACAGTTATATAATAATTTATCTAGGGCAGTGGTTCCCAACCTTGGATTCCGAGATAGACTACAGCTCCCAGAAATCCTGGCCAGCACAGCTAGTGGTGTAGGTTTCTGGGAGTTTTACTCCAAAAATATCTGGGGACCCAAGGTTGGCAGCCACTACTCTAAGGTATAATCAGTTGCCCAAGGAAGGCAATTGTGCTAACATCCCATTGAAGTGGATAAAACACTACAGCTGAGATAAGTATCACTGTTTTCAGTGGGAAACTTGTGTGACTAACTTTCCTTAGACTTAGCTCATTTATAGCAGTATAAATATATATGATATTGAAAGGCAGCATACAAATGTATTAAATGAAAATGAATCAGAAATGTCGTTAAGTTTGGGTCATTTACATATATATATATATACATGCACCATGGGAACAAGTGACCTTTTAGCATGTATGTGATGGGGAAATAGTAGAAATAACTATTTAGACTAAATGTAGATTTTTTTTAACAGTACTAATTGAAGATGACTTTGTGCTTAGTACACTGGATTTCTTTGATGTAATAATTAATTTCCCTGTGTTTCCTATACTGTGTGGCATGCAACATGTAACATTTCTTTCCTTTCCCTACTGCTTTCTGTTATATGCCCAGGGCTTGGATCGCTCCAATTCCTGGGTAAACACTGGTGCTCCAAAAGCCGCCCCATGGGGATCCAACCCCAGTCCAAGTGCAGAGACTACACAGGTGGTGTCTACGTTAGAGCTTTCAACCCCCCCCCTTTTTTTCCCCCTTGTCACTTTGGCCAATACCACATTATAGAACATCTTGTCCTCTTAAGTTTGCACTTTGATATCCTAAGTCTGTTTTTATCTGATTCTGAGGGACCTCATTCTTCTTTATTTTCCCTCCTCTCCACTATGCTGCATGAAAACCGGCCAGTTGCTAACACTTTTTGTTCCCACCTTGTATATAATGACTTTTTTTCATCTTTATTTCTTCATAATCCTCCTTTCCAAATGTTGTGTACCTTTATGTGGAGCATATACCTACTGGTGACATGTACTACAGGTCCCTGTATGTCAGTTGGGTCCTGCTAAGTTCCCATCGTTTCAGTAGCTGAACTCTTGGATATGACTAAATATGCACCCAACCCATACGTGTTCTTATCTGTTATTCTGAAACATCACTAATCATTTTTACCACTTCCATAACACATTTTTCTTCCTTAGTCATCCACCTTCCTTTTGTCATATGAATGGTTGAGTCATTGTCTATATTAGATATTCTGGTCTTACCGGATGCTGAAGAATGTGTCATAAACCACACCTGTGTTGCCAGATATGGATTTGTAGTGCCTTGACACTTCCACCTTGGTTGCTTGCTTCCTAACAGTGCATGATTATTTATTTATTTATTACTGGGTATACTTCCTGGCATTCTCTTTAAAAAACAATGGTGAAAACCCAAACTATTGATGCTTAAGATAAACTTCTGAAAAAATTATTTTAGTTTATTTTATAGATTCTGTGCAATTACCATTGGTACTGGATTATACTTGGGGGATAATATCCCCACTTTTCTTTTGTCTGGGAGGAATGATGCTGGAATTATAAAAGGACATATGTATGTCAGTGGAATAAAACATTGCTACAAACCAGCTTCATGCCTTTGCAACATGCCTTTATACCTTTTTAATAATCCATTGCACTGATTTTTAAAGTAACCCCATCTTAAAAGTTTAGAGTCCAAGTCTGGCAAATTTTAATAAATACTTCTAAATGTTTGCTAATGAAAAAATCAGCAAGAATCAGTGTGTTTTTTAAATATGTTTCAACAAGATCTGCATATGACCAAGGGTTTGAGACCTAGACATCTCTCTTGCTTTTTGATGTGCATTGTCCCTGAGTTGCAAATGTCATCCACAGGAAATGTTAATGTGCTATCATCATTCATCCATTTCCACTCCTGTAGGCTACAGATCGAAGTTGTAATCGTATGTCTTCGCACACAGAGACGTCAAGTTTCTTACAAACATTAACAGGACGATTACCAACTAAAAAGGTAGATTTTAGTGAAGACAACTTGATACTGTGTGACAGGGCAAGGAGATTATGAACCATTCAGCCATTGGTATGTTCTGGGTTTGTATCCTGATATTGAGAACAATGAGTCAAGAAGAGCTGTGATTACCCAGTTCTTATATACCAGGACTACAAGCAAACTAGCGTAGACATGAACCACAACATTTACTGATCTGAAAGTCTATTTTGTACAGCAGCTTAAGAGCACTGCAAGGATTAAGCAAATGCACAAGAGGTGTGAGCAGTGCAGTACAGATGTCACTTCCACTTACATTTTTCTCTCTGCCTAGTGTGAGTTTTGAGCCAGTTTTGAGTGATCAGGAAGAGCTTGAAGAAAATTCTTTGGATTGTCTTTGGCACTAACTCACTTATTATTTGTGATCTCTGTGAATCACACAGTCTGCACCCAAGCCAATTGTGTGGCTTCACAGATGACCACTTGAAGATCCACATTACAAGTAAGCAACCTGTTCTTCCCTTTTGTTATGAAAGAAGGTTGACACATCAGGATCTCTTAACGGTGTCATTTTTGAAAAGTCATCTTCTATAGTTGGAGTCAATGGGGGGAAAACAGGACTGCTGTTCTTTCTTGTGGGTCTTTCTTTCTGGCAGGCTGTTCCTCCATCTTTTGTTATATTCCATGCGGTTTTGGATAGTGAACTGAACAGTTTGCAGATGCTTTATACCTAGCTTTTAGCTTCAGCACCTCTCCTCTGAGGGCCAAAAATCATGGGAGCTTGTTGATTCTCTACTTCTTACTCATTCCACTCTGTAGAAGATGATTAAAGATATATATGCTTGGAAGTAATTAACAGCTTAATTACTTTCACTTCAACGTCCTTTCTCCCTCCCTCCCTTACCACACTGGGAATTTACCACTATCTGCCTCTTTTTAATCACCATCTAAACACTTTTTAAAAAAAGTCCCATCATAATTAGCTTTCAGTTTTTCCTATTTGTGATACCAAGGAAAAGGGGTGTGTGGTAAGAGGGAAGGCACCATTGCAAAAACAAGACTGAGAGCATTTGAAGTAGACTAAATTAAAATTCATTTGTCCCGATTTATTTTAATTATAGCCATCGTCAGAAGAACAGTGAAATAAAATAGCATTCTGCATATCTCATTGTAACAGAGCACACTCAATATACAGAGGATTGGATTCAGACCTACCCATTCCTAGAATAAGCCCATTTAAATGAATGGGACTTAAGTTAGTTGTGGGTAACTTAAGTCCTATTATTTCCATGGGCTTTCTTTCAGTATGATTAATTTTGGCTCTAACTGTAAATTATCTTGTAATACATCTTAAGACAGTTTTCTTGTTTTTGTTAAGAACAGATTGGGCAATATATTCCAAATAAATGGGAGCATCAAACATGAGGAAAAATAAATTAAAAATATGTTAATACTGATAGTAAAATCTTTGCCGAAGGTGATGTGAAACATTTCTTATATGCACTACATCATTGTCGTCTGACATTGTTACACAATACTTCATCAAAAGTCATTTGCCATTGTTATCTGCACATAGCTTGCTATTATCCTTTTTATTATCTTTCCCAGTCTGTCCATTGTTGTTGGTGGGTTATGGGCTTTCTTTTTCTTTCTTTCTTACTTTCTTTCTTTCTTTCTTTCTTTCTTTCTTTCTTTCTTTCTTTCTTTCTTTGCATTGTGGTTCTGGAGAATTATGCAACTGACCATCACATGTGAATTTGAATCCTGTCAGCTTTTTCATGTGGAACTGGCCTTGCAGTGGGTTGTCTGCAGCGGGAGTGTACGGGAGGCTGCTCTCCAGCAAGCATGGTTCTTCTTTGAACTTATGGTAAGGGAACCAGAAACTGTTCCTTGGTTGTTGTTTTTCTCCCCCTCTGCTTCTTACTCATTTCACTAAATTCCTAAATGATATTGATATGCCTACAGTACTACTATGGTTTAATGCCCTCAGAAGAGACTCAAAATAATGTGGAAAAGGCTCAAAATGAGCCAGTGAGAGTAGAGAAACAGGTAGCTGTTCAAGGAGGCTTCAGGGCACTATTGAGCTATAAAACTCTTGTATCACTTAGGACCAGTCTGATTGATGGAAATTTCTCACATGAACTTGTCCAGATTTTAAAGACCTTCAAAGGAGGACCTTCTCTCAATCCTTTTAGCATTGGAGGCATGTCTGGTGAGGATGTCTGAGAAGCCTGTCTCAGTGTCCACTCCCAGGCTGTAGAGTTCCTGCCAAAGCTAGATTCACTCTGTTGTCTCTCTCCAGAGAAAACCATTTTTATTTTCTCTCTCTCTCTCTTTCTTTCTTTCTTTCTTTCTTTCTTTCTTTCTTTCTTTCTTTCTTTCTTTCTTTCTTTCTTTCTTTCTTTCTTTCTTTCTTTCTTTCTTTCTTTCTTTGCATTGTGGTTCTGGAGAATTATGCAACTGACCATCACATGTGAATTTGAATCCTGTCAGCTTTTTCATGTGGAACTGGCCTTGCAGTGGGTTGTCTGCAGTGGGAGTGTACGGGAGGCTGCTCTCCAGCAAGCATGGTTCTTCTTTGAACTTATGGTAAGGGAACCAGAAACTGTTCCTTGGTTGTTGTTTTTCTCCCCCTCTGCTTCTTATTCATTTCACTAAATTCCTAAATGATATTGATATGCCTACAGTACTACTATGGTTTAATGCCCTCAGAAGAGACTCAAAATAATGTGGAAAAGGCTCAAAATGAGCCAGTGAGAGTAGAGAAACAGGTAGCTGTTCAAGGAGGCTTCAGGGCACTATTGAGCTATAAAACTCTTGTATCACTTAGGACCAGTCTGATTGATGGAAATTTCTCACATGAACTTGTCCAGATTTTAAAGACCTTCAAAGGAGGACCTTCTCTCAATCCTTTTAGCATTGGAGGCATGTCTGGTGAGGATGTCTGAGAAGCCTGTCTCAGTGTCCACTCCCAGGCTGTAGAGTTCCTGCCAAAGCTAGATTCACTCTGTTGTCTCTCTCCAGAGAAAACCATTTTTATTCAAGCAGGCCTTTGACATGGAAGCTGCTCTGTGGCTGAAAGGAATCTGAACAGATGGGGTGAAAGCTATGTCTTTCATCGTTGTGGTTTTTTTTTTCCTACTGTGCTTTTAATATACCATATTTTTCCGTGTATAAGACTATACTTTTGTCTAAAACCTTTACACTGAAAATTGAGGGTCGTCTTATACACGGAGGTAAGCTGAGGAGAGAACAAAAACAAATGGAGGGGAAAGCAGAGCTCAAAGCGATCCTGCAGCGCTTTGATCCCTTTCCCCCTACACTTGCTAAGCCCCACTTAGATTTCTTAATTTTGGATTAGAAAAGGGGGGACGTCTTATACATGGGGGCATCTTATACATGGAAAACTACCGTATATGTTGACCAGATTCCTATTTGTTAGTTATGCCTGTGAAACTGCAATTTTGTAAGCTGAAATGACAAATAGCCACTTGTTAATAAATTGCCACTTGTATCCCTCACTGTGTGTTGCATGAGTTGGTGCATGATAAGGAATACAAGTAGCAACTCGTTAACTAGGGACAGAAGGTAGAAAAAGAATTTTCACATACCTTTTTCAGTGGTGGACTGAGGAGACTTAGAAGAAGCTGGAAGTGTTTGTGAAAATGATCCTCTTGGCCAAGGGAACTCAGGTGATACTCTGCACTTGAGTGGCTTTGCATTGCAGAGGCCAGTATCAAAGGTCAGCAAGTATTGGCTGTTGCTGAGGCCCACATCCCACTGTAGGTTATTGTCAAGGTCCACAGCCTTTTCCAAAGCCCTCAATCTTACTCCATCTCTTCACCATTTGCGTCTCTAGTCTTTCCAAAGGTATAACTATTGACAGGCACTAGTAAAGTGAGAAACAGCCACAACACTACTTCTGGACAGTGGTAAAGTTGGGCTGTGAACAAAAAGAAGAGTGAGTGGACAGCAGTAACACTGGTGAAGGTGGGACACTTAGGAAGAGAGGATATCATGGGCTGCAACTTGATTAAGAGTCCTGCAAGATACTGCACTGATTTTATTGCTAAGTCTTGCAGTGTGAGAATGAGTCTTCTCTTGGCTCTGATTGCCTCATCCTTGTTGTGTGATGTGGGATCACATAATGAAGGATGAGGGAGAGAAGGACATGGCTTAAGAGAGGAAGGGGTTCAGGTCTAGAGAAGATAAATAGACAACGTTCCCCCCCCCAAAAAAAATGTCATTGAATCCACCTTCCAAAACCCATGGGTATATTTGGAGATAAAAAATTTAGCCCATCAACCAGAGGGAAAGAATCTATAGCTATTGCTTTAACTGTTAAATCTGATTTAAGGAAAAGTATGAAATCACAATACTATCCATGGCTGACCTTTTTGTTGCAAGCCACTGCAACTGTTAATATATGTTCCCTCCAGGTGAAAAGTATGATACATCATTTGTATTTTGCTGACAAACTCGATGCATCAAGGAAGAATCGTTTTCCAGAGCGCTTCATGGATGACATAGCTGCTCTGGTCAGCACAATCGCCAGTGATATAGTCTCCCGGTTTCAGAAGGTAATGGAAGCAATTCAGCTGTATTCTTGTCAAAATTTAATCCCTGATCCTGAAAAATAACTTCCAAATGCATGACAGGTTTTCAGATCAGACTCTTGGTACGAAACCTCACTGTTAATCACTATTGTAATAGTCTGTTATCTTCTTTTGATTCCCTCCACCTCAACACAGGATACAGAAATGATTGAAAGACTCAACACTAGTTTAGCTTTCTTTCTCAATGATCTGTTGTCTATCATGGACAGAGGATTTGTCTTTCTCCTGATCAAGGCTTACTACAAACAGGTATGGTAGCAAAGAAACCCAAGTTTAAAAGGGGGGGGGTGTATAGGGCAGGGTTAGGTTCGTGTAACATGGAGGCAGAGAAATCTTACAGGTTACATGGGGAAAGGGAAAGGAAGGCCTGGAGGCTGTACCACTTTAGAAAGGGGTGGCAAGGGAACTAGGTGGAGGCAAACCACTAAAGGAGGCTATCAACTTTGTACCCAGCTTGTGGACTTCCATAGGCTCAGACCTAAGTCCATTTTTGTTTCAAGATTTTGCTTCCAATAATATTTGGAAGCAAAGTCCTGGACTAGATTAGAACTTGGAAAATTTTCCAAGAATCCCTATCCAGAATAAACTAAATGTACTGTACTCTGAGTCAATGAGATATTGTGCTTATTAAAGGCATGAGCCTAGAGCTTCTTGGAAAATCTTCAGTTTATTCTCCATCTAAGCTAGAAAACAGTGGTCAATTGCTTATTTTTTATTGCCACAATATCTAATGTGCATGAACTGCCTTGCACAACAACAGTACTTTAACTTTGTGAATTATAGGCCATAGTGACTCATTGGGGGTTATAATGACTGCTTTCTTCCATATTTATAAGGTGTCATCCAAGCTTTATTCTCTACCAAACCCCAGTACTCTTGTGTCCTTGAGACTGGATTTCCTTCGGATTGTCTGTAGCCATGAACACTATGTGACTCTGAATCTACCATGCAGTCTTCTGACACCCCCTGCATCCCCATCACCCTCAGTGTCCTCAGCCACTTCTCAGGTGAGCATACATGAAAGCAAACCTGGAATGCACTTGGGTTCTTGTGTTAATAAACCAGTTGCCACTGACTTCCCAAGCAGAACGATAGTCTTTTTTTTAGTACTCTGTTTCTTATACAGGTTCTTCTTCGGTGCTTATTTATGTAAGTAAAATGTAGGGACATGTATAAAGAGAGCTTTAGATTATACTTATAGCAGGCAAAGCAAAATGTGATGCTTATCTGTTCTAAAACTGTGAGAAAAAGTGCAGTCTGCATCTTGTAATGCAGTCCATATAGTAAACTATATGAAAGACCACATTTGTTTCTGTAACAGAGTTCTGGATTCTCAACAAACGTCCAGGATCAGAAGATTGCAAACATGTTTGAACTGTCTGTGCCTTTCCGCCAGCAGCACTATTTGGCAGGCCTGGTGCTAACTGAGCTGGCTGTCATTTTAGATCCTGATGCAGATGGGTGAGTTTTTTTTTAACATGGTTTCTAGTTGCAAAGAATAATTCAAATCAGATCTAAGCTCTCACAAGCAGAATTCTGCCCAAGGCATGGCTGCAGTCAAATGGGATATTAAGAAAGGAAAGAAAGGAAATATGTTCTTCCTCAAATCCCTCTCTCTCTTGAACTCAGAAACTCCTTATATCTGCTTAGATGGTTGTCCTCAGATCTTGCCTATCAGGCATATTTTAAATTCACTGTCATAAAGATCATGATCCAGTATGACAGCCCTGCATATGGAGGACAGGAAAGTGCCTTCTCCATGATCAGCAACAGAGAGGGAAACATCCTTGTAATTATATTCTGTCTACTAGATCTAAGAAGACCCTCATTCATGCACAGGGCTCTGGGTTGCTACATTTTGGCTGCATAGCCCTAGATATTCATTGCTGCTTTGAAATGTGATATTGCATACATCTGATTAATTCTCCATCAACAGAAATATTTATTGCACCAGTTCTGTACTGGGATCAAATGTACCCCAGAAAAGTACAAAAATTCTTCTAAAAGCATAACACAATTGCAGATTTTTTTTCTTTAAAAAATCCCTGTTTTGAGACCTTCACTTTTCAAGAAAACAGTAAAGTTCCACAAAAACCATTGAAATCAATAAAGACCCACAGTGTAAAATACTAAAATAGAATGTGGAGTCCTGCTGACTGTACAGTTTTTGAAGCACAAAACAGACTGTTCCATTAAAAAAACATAGTTATAACAGTTTCATGTTGTCCTGAGTTGTGAATTATCAGCAACAACAACCTGAATATACACTACCAGAACAGTGTGTATTTAACATAATTCACCGGAGAACCTCCCAAGTAAACAGAAGCAGTAGCTGTGAGTAGGTAAACTGTGACACATCAGCATTTGGTCTGATATGTGGTTTATAAAGCTGCATGCTCCAAAATAGGAGATGAACTAGCTTCTATTCCTTCCTCTTTATCAGAATGGGTGAGCAACTTCAGTAGATTTTAGGATCAGATTTGTCCCTTTGCTATTGGGCTACAGGCGATCTGCCACTACAAACTGAAAATAGCCGTGTAAAGCAAGCATTTTTTTTGCTTCATTTAAATGCACTGTGGTGACTTGCCTAGTCCAGTCTGAAGCCTCTCTAAAACCAAAAGTGATTAAACAGGTTGTCACACTTCAGAGATATTATGGTAACCTAAGGCTACTCAATGCCAAATTAGTGAGGCTGGGAAAAGTGGAAAACAGTAGGAAAAAAGACTTAGCACAAGGTCAGGTTGATTCAGTAAAAGAAGTCACAGCCTTTCTTTTGCAAGACTTAAAACAGGACTCTTGATTCTAGGACCTTCTGGAGGTCATTGATTCAAGAGTCACCATAAGTTGAAAGCAACTTGATGGCAGGTAGCAACAATGGCTTGGCAGTGAAATAACCTCTGTAAGTTATTTAACGCAAGCATTTGTTTACCTTTTCCCATTTTTTCATAAATGTGGGTACGAAATTACTACAATCCTTTTAACATTAGCAAAATACAGTGGTGCCTCGCAAGACGAACGCCTCGCAGGATGAAAAACCCACAAGAAAAATGTTTTTGCAATCGTTATGGTGCCTCGCAAGACGGCTTCTTCTATGGCCGTGCTTCGCAAGATGATTTTTTTTTCAAAGACCGATGCCTCGGAAGACGAAAAAATTTCATTCGTCTTTTCAGGTTCCCATAGGAATGCATTGTAATGCATTCCTATGGGAAAACACTTTTCGGAAGATGATTTTTTTTGCAAGACAGCGCTACTCACAGAACGAATTACATTCGTCTTGCGAGGCACACTATACTTGTTTTAAGTGATGCGTCATTCACCCCTGTTGGAATTTAGTGTTGTGGTTTTCAGATTAATGTTATCATCAGGTTAATTTTAGTTCTATAGTTGTGTGATTCATTTATCTCTTCACTAATTTAGATAAATGACAAGTTGTTTTTATCTTCTAATGTGAGGATGAAACTGAAAACTACAACTTATGAAAACCCAGTAGCAAAACAACACGGGCATCTGTGTTTACCAAGTCTTATTTGTTCTACAGCTATTAACTAATCATTTTGACTGTACTCTATTTTAACAGTTTGTTTGGATTGCATAAGAAAGTCATCAATATGGTACACAATTTGCTATCTAGCCATGACTCCGACCCACGGTACTCTGACCCGCAGGTAAAGGCCAGGGTGGCTATGCTGTATCTGCCTTTGATTGGAGTAATCATGGAGAGTGTACCCCAGCTGTATGATTTCACAGGTATTTTGTGTGTTCTTTTCTTGAGTATTACGAAAAATGGCAAACTAGCAACCAGACAGTTATACTGATGCCTGGGACACCCCCCAAAATGCTTCTTATTAAAAAGCCTCCTAAACAGCATGTTGTGAGAATGGCTGATGGTCAGATTCCAAAAAATCTCCTGTATGGAGAATTAGTGCAGGGAAAGCACCCCAGAGGGAGAACACAGCTGCGATACAAGGATGTCTGCAAGCAGCATATGAAGGCCTTAGGAATGGACCTCAACAGATGGGAAACATTGACATCTGAGTTTTCAGCCTGGAGGCAGGATGTGCATCATGGCATCTCCTATTTTGAAGAGACACTTGTTAAGCAGGCTGAGGCAAAGAGGCAGTCCCGAAACCAGCAAAATCAGGGAGCTGGATAAGGGACAGATTGTATTTGTCTTCAGTGTGGAAGGGATTGTCACTCAAATTGGCCTTCTCAGCCACACTAGATGCTGTTCCAAGACCTCTATTCAGAGCACATTACCACAGTCTCTAGAGATTGAAGGATGTCTATACCTAAACAGCATACAAGAAATACATGTTTGAAATGTTTGTCTTTGAGGTATTGCATTGAGAAAATTTTACACAGTTACACAGGACAGGTAGGATGCGTGCATATATCTTTTCCCCACCCAGAACTGCTGCTAGCCTAATTCATTTTTATTTAGTCTAAGGGGGAGCTCATATCAAGTGATGTTTAAGAGAATTGGGGGCTGGTGTGTATTATTATTATTGGAGGACTGCTTGGAAATTGTATATAATGAGTGTGGGGAATGTGTGGGCCTCCAGACGTTGTCATACTGTAACACCTGTTATTCTAAGCTAGCATAGTTAGTGATGAGGGCTGATAGAAGTTGCAGTCTAGCAGTGTTTGGAGAACCACTTGTTTTCCATCCCTGGTATAGAAAATGTTGATAGGTAATTGAGCCAATGAGAATCTGACCCCAGATGAAACAGCTTCCCATGTTAATATTAGCAAGGTTGTTGAATTGTTGACTAAGGATATACTTTTCCAATTTTTTTGACTACAAACCCAAATCCTCCTTTCTGGGAGTCCCCCCTGCAGGACCCAGGCTTTACATACATCCTACACAAGGAAGCTTTCCAGCAACCCATAGGCTCAGATACATTTTTAAACAGGAAGCTAGGCCTGTTCAAGGCATGAAGTCTGCTGGGCTCTCTTACCAGATGAGTACAGTTTAGGCATCTGTAAGATCTGGGTCCTGCAGTTAGCATTCCCAGAAAGGAGAGTTATGGCATTCAATCCTTAGCCGGGGAGAGGGTAACTGATATCATCCTTTAATTTGTATAAATATGGCTGCACACCAGATTAATCCTGGATTTGCTTTCCTACAGTCTTAGCAAGAAGTTAGGAAGGCTAACATATCTTGTTACTACCTACCCTCTTATGTTGAATAAGCCTCTTTCAAATCACATGAGGAGTGGCCAGTTGCAATGATATTCTAATAGGAATGCTATGTGTCTTTTACAGAAAGTCACAATCAGCGTGGAAGACCAAGTTGTACATCAACAGAGGATTATGAAAGTGAGGGAGGGAACATGATAAGCCAAACGGTTGCCATGGCTATTGCAGGAACCTCTGTCCCACAGCTCACCCGACCCAGCAGTTTTCTCCTTACAACATCGGTACAGAAGAATATTCTTCCTCTAGAACATCTCAGAACAGATAAATATGGATATGCAGCATTTTCAAGCCATAGGTGTGGGTGGCAATCCTGCTTGGGAACCGTCGCCACCATCCTTTCTTGCAAAATTCATGGAAGACAAGAGAGTGGGTGGAGGGAGGGTGACAGATTCAGCCTGTTCCTGGGAGATAATGGTGTAATAATAGCCCTTCTGGTGGCACCTCCGGATTTTAAACACATCTTTCCCATTCTGAAAGCTGTAGAAGAAAATGCCCACACATTCTGAGTTGAAATTGAGAGGTCTTCCATTAGGTCAATTTGCCCAGCTAGATTCTCACTTTGAAACTTCCAAAGGGAGGTTAAAAATAGCATCCTTTGATCTAATGAAATACTCCGGGTTGAAGGAACAGACATTTGTGCTTTTAATCCATTTTTCCTGTATGTTCAGACCAACAGGCAGCACTCAACGTTTTCAGCCGAGTCAAGTCGGAACCTTTTGATCTGTCTTTTGTGGGTCCTAAAGAATGCTGATGAAAGTATCCTGCAGAAGTGGTTCACAGACCTCTCTGTCCTTCAGCTTAACCGCTTGTTGGATTTGCTGTATCTCTGTGTTTCCTGTTTTGAATATAAGGTATAGTAATGGCAGGGGAACGACGGCCAAGAACCACCCTCCTTTAAGAATTTTTTCAGAAATACAAGGCCCCTTGTACCATTAAAAGTACAACTTCTATGCAAGTTTCCATTATATTTCCTATAAAGTGGCTGACATCCTATTACTTAGTGTATTATGCTGCAACTGAGTAGGCCCACTGAATCAGTGGAATTTACAAAGGGTTAACTCACCAAGTCCCCGCTGTTTAAGTGGATCTCCTGTAGTTGCATATGACTGTGTTAAGCAACAGAATTTCAGCTTTCATGTCTAAGAAACTGAATTTGGGTTAGGTTTACTTTTCTGTTCTTGAATTACTGGGAGTGCAGCCATCATCATTCAAGCTAGATGAGTAGACCTGTGGTCGTGTTGCACTGGCTGATTGTTCTGCTTCTCAGAATGATTTATGAAACAGTCCTGTGCTGGCTATCTGAATACTGTTTCACGATGGCCAAAATCTAGTATCATCTTGTCACCGTCTGGACTTTCAGAACATTTCTGCCGTCCCCTCCAGCAAATTTCAACAGTATATGGGAATCAATTCCCAAAGCCTTCACAGCCCTTCCAAGCGGTTTTTTGGAATGCACCAGAGGGAGGTGCTGCAGTGACCTCGCCCCTCATGATTCCACTTGTGGAAACAGTTTTCTGACACCACATGTAGCCCTTCTGATCTTGGCCAGTTTGTTTCCCCGGAAAGGCTATGACAACGAAGAGAAGACAGTAGACCTAAAATACATCAGCAATGCAGTTGTAAATGACCCTAAAACAGGTTTAGCTTTTACAGTATAGTCCCAACTCAAAAGTGCATTGGCAGTAGGGGATTAGGATTAAGTGCAAGCCTCTTTGTGCAGCAGAAATCCCCTTCCCCTAGTGGAATCCTTTTTACCTTCTGATTTCCGAGATCTGTTGACACAGCAGCGTGCTGGCCAAGATCTGCTGGCAGAAGAAGAAGAAAGAGGGTCAAAGACAGAATGGAGCCTGCTTATGTCAGACCCAAGCCACTTTTTGCACAGGGATACAGACAGTGTGCTGGCACTAAATTAGGCCAGGGTAAGGATAATGCTAAATAATTGCCAACATCGCTAGATGGGGAAGGGTTTAGATTCGGTACAGCTTCAGCAGGCCTAGAGTCAGTGCAGCTGGTCCTTGCCTATGTTCGCCAGTCAGATTTGTGCTCTTTCCTTAAAATAAAGGTGAAGTATAATGTTATGGATATTGTGAATTCTATATCAGAGATTCCCAGACTGTTCATGAAACCACAAATGGGAGTGCTATGAAGGGATGCCTTTGAATTCTTCTGTTCAGTTTAACTCACAGTACAAGTTAGACCAGGAGAGATTTTTCCTCCTCTGTAAACTGCACACATTTCATGAACCCTTCGGTTTGGTTTGTTGCTGTTTTTACTGTAAACTGCACACATTTCATGAACCCTTTGGTTTGGTTTGGTTTGTTGCTGTTTTTAAAAGACGCAGTTCTTGTCTCGTGATCTTGCCCTTCTTTTGTGAAATGTCCAGGGCAAGAAAGTCTTCGAAAGAATGAACAGTCTGACTTTTAAGAAGTCCAAAGATATGAGAGCAAAGCTTGAAGAAGCTATACTGGGGAGCATTGGCGCAAGGCAAGAAATGGTACGGCGAAGCAGGGGGCAACTGGGTAAGTGACTGGGATTGCTGAAGCAAAAGCCCTCTTCCTTTGCTGTCCTTGTGGGGCTTTGTGGCTGGCCCTACCAGTTGGACATCCATCTGTTGGTGCCTTATTGTTTTCAGAGACGGAGCCTATCTGTGAGCAACTGCTTACGGGTCACCTTTATCTCTGCAAATGACATGTCCTATATGTAAACGGGGGGAGGTGGGGCTGCAGGATTCCTGATGCCAAGGGCATAGCAAGGGAGGCGGTTTTGTTCCCAAGCCATTGTGTGGGCAATACATGAAAAAGCTAAGCAGTTATTTTGGTTAAGACTCCATAGCCCTATTCAGAGATCACTTATCTAGGTTGATGTGAAGAGGGGAGCCCTTAGCCAGGGGCCCCAGGGTCGTCTTTTCCTCATGTGGGGCAGCTGAATAGGAGCGATACCTGTTCACATAGAAGCTCTCCATGCAAGTAAGTCCACTTTACGTGATGCTGAGTTAGTGTTGCACTCATGGATATCAGAGTATCCTGATAGTTGAGGCATGAGATTGTACAAACTGAAATCAGTCTCCTTTTCAGCTTTAAAATAACAGTCTTTTTATTGTACTGGAAGTATGACTTAATATTAATTGATTAACTGTGTAGTATGACTCTCATCTATGGTCCCAGTGAGATTAATTATTCCTTCTGTTGAGTGGAGTGTTCTGACATCCGTTTCTACCTGAGAATTCAGTATTAAAAATCATTTTCTCTCCCCGACCCCCCCAAAAATCCAATGCCTAACAGAAAGAAGTCCTTCGGGGAGTGCGTTTGGAAGCCAGGAGAACCTGAGGTGGAGAAAGGATATGACTCACTGGCGGCAGAACACAGAAAAACTTGACAAGTAATGCCATTTTATTGAAATACATTAGCTTTGGAATGATCATTTGGCAAATCTGGGGCTTGGCTTTGTACCCTTGAAGTTTAGTGGGCTGCAATTTGGGGGAAGCTTAGAGATGAACTGGGAAATACTAATCTCATAGTTTTAGTTTTTAAAAGGAGTCGATCACACTCGTACAAGTTTTGTTTGAAACAGGCTGCCATTATAGACCCATTTGCCTGCAAATAAGTCTCACTGAAGTCCGTGGGACATACTCTAATACCGATCTATAGAATTCTGCTGTATGCTGTATAATCTGTATGCTGTATGCATTTAAAAAATACCTGTGCATTTTCATGCTATAGCATCATGCGCTGAAATTCTGCCAAGAGCCAGTAGATCTGTTCACAAACAATGTGTCTCTGATCACTTACTCCATTAGAGCATTCTGGAGTTTTCAAAGCTTTCTTCTTTCCTACCTTAATTCATCACTTTGATTGTTTTTCCACATGTGCTGTGCTTTTAGAAGTCACAAACCAATCAGGTATTGTAGCACTGGTACCCTGCTGTGGTGGTGTTTTTGCTTTTTGTTCTCTTGACTGCCACTTGTACTTTTGCGTATCCTGTCATTGCAGCTCTGGCTTTTAGTGCTTGGCGGAAGCTTTGTATGCTTACATGCAACTGCAAGAGTTCCTTTCGGTGCACAAGCGCTTGCTAGGGTTTGAACTATTCTGGCTGGGTTTTACATCATGGTTTTAGCCTTGCTTAGCATGCTTTTTGCCTTCTGTACAGGTTCTGAGTGTCCAAGCTGGGGCAAACCTTTCAGGCATTCTTTTACAAAATGCTTTGACTGTAAAATGTTAACTGTAAGGGGTGTGTATTCAGCTACAGAATATTCCCTGTTGTTCTGTAGCATGATGGACGCCTGTCATACGGCATAAATAGTGCAGTCATGTCATCTGTTTCCTGATAATCCTGTGACATCATTAATGAGGACACCATAGCTATGGAAGAATAGCTGTGCCATTTTAATGTGTCTTTCTTTTGGTCCAAGTGAAATTCTGGAGACATTTGGAAATAAGAGTCCTGTAGCTGATATGCGGTAAACTGGAGACTGGAGCAGCTCAGAGATCCAGAGACTTCCATTTCAAAACTTTTCTGTTTGAAGTCCTCGCAGCCCCTGCAAGCTCCGGGCACCTTGTCTCTTCTGTTCATCTGTGTTGTGTTTAGCGCAGTGCAAACACAGGGACAAAATAAGTATTTAACCCTGGAGATGATAATATCTATGCTGCGTCCCAGTCCAGTCTGCCAACACACCACTCCTTGCCAGCTCTCTCTTTTATCTGCTCGAGGCTGTGCACAGCCCAGAACGATATTTGTCAACATGCCGTAGGAAAAAGGCTGTAACTCATTGTTGAGTTTTCTTCTAGTGGGTCCCATTTAAGTCCTTGGTAATCTGCAGAAAGGATTGGGAAGGACTCCAGTCCGTTACTCTTGAATCCAGTGTCCATTAATGTAGACAGTCTTGACTAGGTAGACCAGTGCTCTGACTTATGGTTAAGCAGCTCCTGTTCTTTCTCGCCGACGTATATGGCTAGACTCTCTGGACAGAAGAGTCCCAGGACCTTCCCTGTACTTGTTCAGGCTTTTCCTATTATAGTCAGATCCACGGACTCAAGCTTATTTCTACCATGCCCTTCAAGGTTTTGCTTCGGCTGGTCCTTCTCCCTAGAGGCACCGTGGGGGGCAAGCTTATTTCTACCATGCCCTTCAAGGTTCTTCTCCCTGGAGGCACCGTGGGGGGATCAAACTCCCAACTTCTGCCTCTGCCGCCAAATACCTAAATCACTGAACTAATGAGAAACAGAAAGACAATAGTTGTTGTAGGTTTTTTTGGGCTCTTTGGCCGTGTTCTGAAGGTTGTTCTTCCTAACGTTTCGCCAGTCTCTGTGGCCGGCAACTTCAAAGCCAATACTTTGAGAAGAAGAAAAGGAACATATATATATATTTCCATTTAAAGAAGAGCCAACCAAGGTAAAAAAATAGCATGAAGACATGTAAAGTCACCAGTAACAGGGGGAACAGGTTTAACTGCTTTCTTCAATATTAAAGCTTTGTACAAATTCAGATTGGGGTTGTTTGGAAGCCTTTAGAGCAGTATATTCTTCAAACAGCAGGCACGTTGCGAGAAATGCATTTTGTCTGTTTTGTTTTAGTTCAAACACTAGCATGTGCTGTAAACGTTTATGAGAGATCATTACCCAGGGCCAATTGTCAAAGCAGGACTATTTGCTCAAATCCCAAGGAAAGGAGAAGTCAGCTCCAGGTTTGCTTACAAGGAGAAGTTTATTGAGTAACTTAAAGTCACCCAGGTGTACCCAGGAAACTGGAAAAGATGACAGCATGGCCTCCAAGTCACGGCAAAAAGTCCGAGGAACTATCAGGCAGATCAAATAGCCTGTATACATTTTTTTTTTGCTGTTTACATCTACAAGCGGCAGCTGGGCAATGTATTACTTTGCTCTAATGAGCAGTACTGACATGTAAAATAATCCTCCCCACCCCTGTGCCTTGGCATGATAAGCAGAGGTGTGCATATGCAAAGTGTGAAGGAGCTCATTAGTGGTATTCGATAAGCACATCTGTTCTCTCCAGCCCATCTTCCTTGCCAAGCAGGGCAGTTTGACCAGGCTCTGATCCATCTTCGCACCTGGAGAACACTGAAACAGCTTTACACAGCCAAGGAAAGTGGAAGACAGCAGATCAAAATGGAAGGCTGACATGTCTTACGTTTCCATCTAGACACCAGGCCCAACAGTATATATGTCAGAAGTGGAGTGAGCTATATAGCAGAACAAAAGTGAGATGCTTCAACTGTGTGTCTCTGCTGCTACATTCCCGGGCATATTAGTGAGTCTTAGAAACATATTCCCATAGCACCACCCTGTGTTCACATCATGAAGTTAGTACAGTAACATCTTTGATATAATCTGATATAAATATGAATGTTAGTTCCTTTTTCTGTAGCTCAGAATTTATTATGATAATGGTACCCAGTGTAGTGTAGTGGGTAGAGTGATGGGCTTGGACTTTAGAGACCAAGGTTAGGATCCCCACTCAGACATGGAAACTCACTGGGGGTGTCCAGTTGGTGAAACGACTCCTTAAATAGCTCACTTACTTTGAAGGTCCTATGAGGGTCGCTGCAAGTTGGTCCCAGCTTAATGGCACATAACTAACATTAAGATAATCAGGGAAGGCCTTTCTCTTAGTTGCTCTCAGTCTCCCTTACAGGTGCATTTGGTGGGGACACAGGAGAGGGCCTTCTCTGTTGCTCCTTCCAGACTCTGGAACTCCCTCCCACGGGAAACTTAGTTGGCCCCATCTTTGCTGTCCTTCTGCAGGCAGGCAAAGACCTTTCTTTTCAGACAGGCTTTTGCTTAATGACTGACAAGCTTGAGAGGGTTTTTTAAAATGGATTGTTGTGCTCTGTTGTTTAAATGTGTTTTAATATTAATCTTAGTTACCATTTTGCATACTTACTGTTTTTACCTTTAAATACTATTTTAATTATGTAAGCCATCTTGGGTCTTTTTGGGGAGATGGGCAGGATAGAAATATTTTAAATAAATAAATTCAGCACCAATCTTTTTGTTCTTTCTTGGTATAAGACAACATACGTGTTTAGTGATATTTTCCTCCTTTGAATTTGTTGTTGTTTAGTCATTAAGTTGTGGTGGACCCTTCGTGATCCCATGGACCCGCCTGTCTTCCACCGCCTCCCGGAGTTTGGTCAAATTCATGTTGGTAGCTTCGATGACACTGTCCAACCATCTTGTCCTCTGTCGTCCCCTTCTCTCCTCTTGCC